GTCAGATTTTTCAGGGGTTGACCTCTCACCAGGAAATTGCTTACTGATCTAGAATATGCCGATGACATAGTTCTGTATGGTGAGGACGCTGACAATACAGTCTTCTGACTATATTACCCTAAACAACAATGCAAGCATGTTCGGGATGCGGTTTTCACCCTCGAAATGAAAAATGTTGCTTCAAGACTGGGTTGCATCGGCACCTGAACTAGTGATAGGGAGTAAAGTAGTCGGTGTTGATCGCTTCACTTATCTGGGAAGTCTCATCAGCGCGGATAGCCTGGTGACTGACGATATCTCAACTCGGTTACAGAAAGTTCGATTGGCTTTTGCCAACCTGCGTCATTTATGGCGTCGGCGAGATATCCGTTCGCTGATCAAAGGACGAGTGTACTGCGCAGCAGTTCGCTCCGTTCTCCTATATGGATGCGAAACATGGCCGGTAAGAGTAGAAGATGTTCGTAGGTTACTAGTATTCGATTATAGATGTTTAAGAATCATTGCTCGTATATCGTGGGACACCCGAGTGAGCAACGCTGCTATTAGGAATCGGGTGCTAGGTAAGGATGGCAGATCAATCGATGAAGTGGTGAAACTTCATCAGTTGAGGTGGTTGGGATATGTATTACGTATGCCTAACCACCGACTGCCTCGACAAACTATGTTTTGTGGTGTAGGAGTAGGTTGGAAGAAAGTTAGGGGCGGCCAAACCAAAACATGGCAGAAATCCATGAAGTCGCTGACAAGTGGACTGAGTCATGTTGGTTGATGTAGACTACCTGGTTGGGGTCCGCGAGACGAAAGTCACCAATGGTTAGAGACTTTGAACGACATGGCTCAAAATAGTTTTCAATGGTGCAAGTGCATCCATTCTTTGAGCTCTCTCAAATCCTAATCTTCTGGATTCGTCAGCACCTCTACCTTTGTCTTTCTAACCTTGTAGTGTGCCTATAACTGCGTGTTCTTAAGGTCGATTTATAAATCAGAAGATGAACTCCAATTATCGTATACGTTTATTTGAGGCACACCACATTAGGAAGCGGAGAAGCGAATAGGAGAAGGCTAGTGAGCCAACTCTTTGGATTACAATGCGAGCGAATGAATGAAGCGAATAGGAGAAGGCTAGTGAGCCAACTCTTTGGATTACAATGCAAGCGAATGGACGAAGCGACGTGGAGAAGGCTAGTGAGCCAACTCAAAGAGATAGAACATGACTAAGAATATATAGTCAGATAAGAATAAGACAGACATAAGACAAACGAAATAGATATGCACACACATGAATAAAAGCGACGAATGGTTGACAAGGTCAAATGACAAGCGATACAAATCATGTGAGTTCATGGGACTATTACGAGATTAACATTAAAGCGAAAAGGATGAGTAAGTGCGTAAGCGTAAGCAATGCTCAGTCGTACAAGCTCATACAAAGCAGATAATAAAAAATACCAATGGAATATATGAGTTGTTGCTATGCAAATAGCTTGATTACATAAATTGATCAAAAGGCTTAATCGAATTAAATATGAGCGAACTCAAGTTTATGTGGAGGCACTACAACCTTATGTCACTGAACTATATTTTTTGAATAATATCTTCAAACCCTAGTCTTCTTCATTACCATTAATACCTCTACTATCTTTATCACCATGGAATTTGTTTTGACATGTGCGTCTCTGTGCTGATGTGGTATGGCAACATGAACTTATGTAGATACGTACGAAGTTCTACGTTGCAACTGACTGACTGACTGAAAAAAGTGATTGTAGGTGTAACCTTCGCTTTTGTCATTTTTATTTCTTCAGGACTGGTTGAACTACACGTGATCAGACCGTAGCACGATGTAGAGATGCTGCTGTCGTGAAAAACATTCCAGTGATCATAGCTTTCTGTAAGTAAATCTTTAGTGTGTATTGTAAATATTAGTATATTTGAGGCGAAAATAATAATTCCCATTTCATTTTGATTCGTTCCGAGGTATGAAGTCAAAATGATAAACGGCTGCGGAGCTTATCCCTAGTCTATTTATACGCCATTTACCAGCTAATATATGGATGTTTATCCATTTTGGAAAGTATATATAATTTGTAAAATTTATATTTTATGTTCAGGCTATTTTCAATCAGTCAGTAACAAAGTACAGCTTCTTATGTAGGCATATTCCTCCAGGCTATCATGCAACATTAGCACAGAGATGCAATTTCCAAATACTATAGTAGTAGAGGTAGTAGAAGTACAAGCGGTAATCAAAAACATTAGTGATCGAAGATATCATTCGAGAAGTATATGCCAGAGGAATCAATGTAAAATATAAAAGAGAGAAAACGGTCACGAGGAATTCAGAAGATTATAATTTGAGAGAAGACAAAGAATGGATGCATCTGTGCTATCGCAAACGATTTCAAGCCATATGACTCAATTCTTCTAACCGTCGGTTACTATTGTCTCACGGACCCCAACCTGGTAGTCTAAATTTAATAACATGGCTGTCCACTTGTCAGTGAATTCCTGGATTTGTGCCACGTTTTAATTTGGCCAATCCTAGCCTTCTTCCAGCCTATCCCTGCATCGCATAACATCGCTTGCCGAGACAGGCAGTAATTAGGCATATGCAAGACATGTCCCAACCACCTCGGTTGATGAAGATTCACTTCTTCATCGATTGATCCTTACCTAGCAACCGTTTACTAACAGCAGCATTGCTTACTCCATGGTCCCACGATATACGAGCAATGCTTCGAAGACACCTATGATCAAAAACCAGCAACCTACGAATATATTTTACGCTGACTAACCATGTTTCACACCCGTATAGTAAGACGGAGCGAACTGATGTGCAGTAGACTCATCTTTTGGTTAGTAGACACCTATGCCTACACCGTAAGTGACGCGAGTTTCAGGCTAATGTGGACGCATCATTTCAGATAAAGATAAATATTTAATATCGAACGTGTAAAAATGTGCATTTGCTTGTTCATTGTAATAAACAGTCATTTTCATTGACGTTTACATCCGATTATTTTAACGTACGCTAATATACATTTACAATGAATGAATATCATTTTATACAACTAAACTGAATATAACAAAACTAACTATGCATATATATCATTATTCATACAATTACAAATAAATAACTAAATAACTAATGTAAAAAAATGAGAATATTGTATAAACTGATGTATTATAACGCAATAAAATATACAAATTCACTATCAACATTGAGAAATGTAAAACGAAAAAAAACTATCATTGAATCCTACTAAACAAAGTAGAGTTTATAATTGAGTAAAACAATCTGTACTTGATTACTGACCGCAACATGAACACATTCAATTGTGCTTCAACAATAGAAAATAATAATGAATTGTACACACACACACACAGGAACACAATTTATTATTTCATCATTTATTTTCTGTTTGTATGAATAACAACTGAAAAAGGTTTTATAAATAGATACAGATGTGGACAAGTACAACATTGTTTTTTTTCTAACTGGTCCAATCTTTGAAAAAAGAAAGATATATTTATATATATATATATATATACTATAAGAGTATTGTGCGTTACACCATCTGCGTTGTGAATACAAAGATGAAAATCTGAAATTAAAGCTGTCATTGCAAAATCTTAAATATACAGTTTGATATAGATATATATTTAGGTTTAAATATAGGCGAAAAGACAATAAAGGAAGATAATAATGATAATAGTAATAAGAATAGTGACAAATAATCACAAAAATAAATATCAATAAAAAATATTTGTGTAAATTATGTACACATCTGATTATTCTATTCTCTCTCTATTTGTCATATAACCAATTAAAATAAAATAGCATAAAATTGTAAATTTTAAAATGAGATTTCCATAAATCCCAGATCAATGTCAATGAACGGAGAGTAGCGGCAATCAATTAAATTATAGACCGGGATTGATAAAAAGGTATGAATGATGAACGAATAGCGAGAGATGAAGTGAGGATTGATCGATAATTACAGGAAGAAGAAGAAGAAGAAGAAGAAGAAGAAGAAGAAGAAGAAGAAGAAGAAGGAGAAAAAAAAGGCCTTAAGAAATGTGATACAAAGAAGTTAATAAATATTGCACCTTTAGCAAAATAGAAGAAAAAAATTTATTTGTTGAAATTAATCAGAATATTCAAAGCTTTAAAATAAAGAAACAAATTGAGATTATTATTATTTGTGAATAAGAATAAAATGAACTAGAGAATAGAGTTAGTTAGACAAGTAGTCAAATAACAACAGATCTTACAAGTAATGATTGAAAATTTAACAGCTGAAATAAAAAATATTTGAAAAGTACGAAAACGGAAAAAGAAAGTGAGAGAGTATAATATCTTATTAATGGTATTGCACAATTCTCACAAAACTTTTATATATATATTCAAACAATTATTTGAATGATGAAAGCAATAATTTACACGAAATATCAAATAAAACAAGAAGTTGGCAAATAAAATGAAAATAAATTTTTAAAAAAATCACTGTACAGCATTCATTCACTCACTACATTACAACACACTACAGACACAGTAATATGGAGGAAGTATTTCATTCAATGCAGAACATTGACGTGATACATTTTAGCGTAAAGTTGTATGGATTTGGTGGAGGAGTGAATAACACATTGGTATTTCTTCACTTACACACACATGAGATGAATGTATACACACACACACACAATACACTAAACATTATCATAATAGCTATGCAATACAACATAATAAAGAAATCAAAAAGTATGTATAGTAGAATCACGGATATTTCAACAAACACATTTTTTTATTATTATTTGAATTGAGCAAGAGAAAAAAAATTCAATTATTGGCAGTGTAGTCAATTTTTGCACATAAATAATATACACTAGCACATGTAAACTAGACATGACCATATGCTTCTTAACTAATCAATTGAAAGGAGAATAACATTTTCAAAATATGTACTGATCAATTGAATTCATTTGGCGCATTATTATTACTATAACTATTATTATTATTGTTACCGTTAGTATCAAATTAATAATAACCGTATCAATAAAGCAGATGATATTCATTATTTTGGCACAAGGATTAACGAAGAATACGAAGCATTATTGATTTTTAATAAAATGATTAATTTTTGGTGTTGAACCAGTAGGAAATGAATGTGTTACATCGGTTGTTAGTGAACTCGAGGAGGTAGATGTGGTATTTGTCAATGAAGTAGGTGTAATCAGTTTAGTTGGTGAAGAATGATGATTTTCAATTGCCTGAGTAGGAGGAGTAAGTTTAAAACAATTTGAAACAGTACCAAATAGTTTATTTGAAGCGGTCAATTTCTTTTGATACATAGTTAATGAAGTTTTATGCCCCATGGAGAAACTCTGAACTGGATAATTTCTTGATGGAATGTTAGTCGATTTACTTGTTGAAGGTAAAGATGAAATTCCTAGAGAAACAGAAGTTTGAGGTTGTGTACTTTCATTTGATGTGGACACATTCAAAACCGATTCAAGTGGTTTAACAGAATTAATGGGTATTGTTTTTGTTGTCGAAACACTTGCCGATAGTGAAGTGGCAGGGACATAAGACGCTAGGGATAAAGGAGCTGAAGAACTTGATTTTTCATCAGTTTTTACTACAGGAGTCAGTGTAGAGCTACTAATTGATGTAGGATTTGATTTAGTGACTACATTAATACCGTCTGTACTAGTTAAGTGATGTGTTTTATTTTCAACAGATATTGATACAGTCGATGTTGCAGGTGATTCTTTTGAAACTTGCACGTGATTATCTTCAATGGATATTGGCAGCGGAGAGGAAACATTTGGACGTCTTATATTTGATATTATTGAACTAGCATCAGAGGATTTACCACAGCTACCGCCGCTAGTTGTAGTGGTAGCTGAGAAAGTTGTGTGTGTGAAATTTCCCGGAGGCAAACCAACTGTACCGACAGCAGCATAAGGTGTGGGAGGAATATTGTTTTTTAAAAAATCAACAACATCAGGTTGTGTAGCAAGTTTTTCAAAATAAGGAATTAAATCAAGTAAAGCACGATCGTTTGCATCGTCAAACCATGATGAGATTTGAACCTAAATGATAAGTAAAGAAGATGTTTTTTTTTAAAATTTACTGATAAACAACAACATAAGCAGAAATAATAGAAAAACAAATTTCATCATATAAAACTGAATGAAAAATGAATCTATAGGATATTTAGTGGAAAGAAACAAATAACTAGGTAATTCTAAGGCTTGCGAGTTTCTGGTGATACAAAGATATGCAAACAAAAAATAATCGAATCACTGACTCTCAGCAAAGCAACTGAAGTAAACAATACAGATGCAATAGAACAAGTTCAATGAGAGCATTACAGATACACTCACTGAATTTCCTTGAATTCGACTATATTACATCCCTTTTTTATATCTTAATATCTTAAATAAACGTATTCAACACTTCGGTATTCGCCTTTTGATTTATAAACCGTGGGGCGCTATTCAGAAACGGTTGTCTTGACGAGCAGCATACGAAGTCTAAGAACACGTGGGATACCGACCGGCACGAAACTAGTGAGACACTAGCCACCGTATACTATTAGCTGACAGCACAAACCAAATAATTAAAAATGTGTAAAAATTTCAGGATATATAAGTAGGCGTCAATAAAGCATTACTGTTCATGTATATTTATCATACGCTCAAGAATAGATGAAATAGTCGCACATATGATCTCTCAATACTTTTTTTCTGTTTAACAAAGGATTCATTTGTTGGGATGAATACAAAACTAAAAAGAACATCAATATATCATTTACTAGACTAATAAAGTCAAGGCTAAAAATATTCAGAAGGCTAAATGGATGGAAAATAATTACTAACGTTTTACAGTCACCACAAAGGATTGGTTAGACTATCAACAGGAATAAACAGGTCTAGGATTTACTATTTGGGCTGATTTCTGGAAGAAAAATTAAAACATTTTAAAGAATAATTTGACCAGTCAACAGTAATCTTTCACTTGTTAGCAAATGATGAATAAACGCTAGCGTGAGTACTACAAAAATTGAACATGAGTATAGTAAGTCTGAGATAACAAAGAACCATCTTAACTAGATGGTTGCGTTGTAAATATTCTTTGGGTTATAATCTAGAACCAATAATCAGTTTAAAATGGAGCATATAAGTGACAAGTTACTCATTTAAAATAGTCCCTTAGTTACTCATTACAGTTTACAAATTGGGGAGAACAATGTTTGAAAATATGAGAACACGTTCTACAAAGTTTTAAATATCCTAAAATTCCTAGTCACCTAACATATAAAAACAGCTGGGAAACAATGAAGTAAACAAGAACGTTTAAGGTTGAAAAGAGGCATATAGTGTGCTTACTTTTAGTGGGAAAACTAAAAAAATCGCCGAATAAATCATTGGTTGACTGATTTACTAATGAATTTTAGAACAGTTACAGAAACAAATAGACAGGATGACAATCCATTTATATCTCGGGAAGAATATGAAATATCGAAACATATTCCATAAGTAATTCTTATTTATATGATGTTAGGAGTTTCCAATCACTGATTTTAAAAGCTTTAAAGATTTAGATTGTGAAATATATTGTGCAGTACACAACTCAAACCGATTGCCATTATTTTTCTGACTAGCTAACATAAAGTAAACTTATGTCACCTCGATTCACAATCTAATATCCTCTACAAAACTCTACGGTTGTGAGCCTATAGCAGCTAAAACTAAAAGCAATTGAAAAAACGAATGAACTCCAGTAGTTGTGTTAGGATCAGATAACCTTGGGAATTTATTGACAGATGTGGTAAAATATTTCCAATCACTCACATTGTGCAGTTAGTACAGCTTATTATGTACGTACTGGATCCCAGTAGATAGTCGTTTGTGCGCTGTCCGACTAAACGGGACAGTAAGGACTCGGAAGGATAGGGACACTCGCCGTTGCCTCTTCGTCATATCTGCCTATGCCCCCACTGACTGCAGTGCAGACGAGGTTAAAGATGAGTTTTACAGAAAGCTTTCGGACCTCCTCCAAAAAGCTAGGCGCTCTGATATAGTAACAGTGGCTGGTGACTTTAATGCTCAAGTAGGTAGACTAGGTGAAAAGGAAAGACATCTTGGTGGATGTTATGGTGTCCCGGCTCAGAGAACAGACAATGGTGACCGTCTGTTGCAAATATGCTCAGACAACCGCCTATTCTTAGCAAACACTAACTTTAGGCATAAGGAAAAGCATCTGTTGACCTGGCGACCTCCAAAGTCGTCTCAACGTTGGACTCAACTAGATCACATTGCCATCAGCCACCGATGGAGGGGTTCGATAGAGGACTGTCGCTCGTTCTGGAGCACATGTCTAGATTCAGATCATGCCCTAGTGCGAGCGCGTATTTGTTTGAAGCTTACTGGGCGTAGGAAAGACACCGTAAGAAAGCCTCTTAGGGTTTTACTTAATGATAATCAAACTAAGAAAATATTTCAGGAGCAACTAGAAAGAGAGTTAAGCAACCATGCATGCGATTCCCATCCAGAAGCAGGTTGGTATGATATCAAAAAGGCTGTGGAAACAGCAGTGATATCTGCTAGTAAGGTTGACCATAAGGCTAGAATGAAATCGTGGATCTCAGTAGCATCCACCGATCTGATGGATGCCCGAAAACTCATCCCACCTGGCTCTGAACATGATGAAGAACGAAGTCAACTTAGGCGCAGACTTATAAAAAGCCTACGTAACGATCGCGAACAGTGGTGGGTGGCGAAAGCGAAGGCGATGGAAAAGTCAGCGGCAATAGGCAAGAGTAGACAACTTTTCCGACTTATCAAGGATACTGGTATTAGGAATCATAGTGTAAGTGAGACTATCTCGGAAAAGGATGGTATTATTATCCACTCTCAATCCAGGAGATTGGACCGATAGGCAGAACACTTTAGGGATCAGTTCAACTGGCCTCGAACCACTCTTCGGTTACCCACGATCTCCAGTCATCCTGAATGGCAAATCGACGTAAGTCCTCCTAGTCTTAATGAAGTTGAAAAAGCGTTAGGAAATCTGAAGCGAGGTCGAGCTGCAGGTCCTGATAGACTGACCCCTGAGGTATTTAAGGATGGTGGTCCAGTTTTATCAACTAGGCTGACTGAGATCTTAGGTAGAATCTGGGAACTGGACGTGATCCCATCTGACTGGTCTCAATCACTGATTGTCCCAATCTATAAGAAAGGACAAAAGTGTTCTTGTGACAATCACAGGGGAATAAGTCTAACTAATATAGTATCTAAAATATTGGCCTCAATAATACTTCGACGCTTAACGAAAGCTCGTGAAGAGCAAACTCGAGAAAACCAGTCTGGTTTTCGACCTGGACGTTGTTGTATAGACCACATCTTCACAGTACGACAGGTCCTGGAACACAGACACACATTTAGGCGTCCTACAATAGTTGTTTTCCTGGACCTAAAGGCGGCATTTGACTCAGTGGATCGTGAGGTTCTGTGGCAGTGTCTGTCATTGAAAGGTGTACCAAAGAAGTACATTAACCTTATACAAGCCCTTTACTCGAACACCACTGGTCGAGTGAGGGCTTATGGCGAACTGTCACCGGAATTCTCTACATCAAGTGGTGTCCGTCAAGGATGTCCACTTTCTCCATTCTTGTTTAATTTTATCATAGACATGCTCCTAGACATAACATTGTCCTCGTCTGGATTTTCAGGAGTAGACCTTTTACCAGGTGGCTCGCTTATTGACTTAGAATATGCCGACGACATTGTCCTACTTGGTGAAGATGCTGACAAAATGCAGAGTCTTCTGACTACCCTAAGCAACAATGCAAGCATGTTCGGGATGCGGTTTTCCCCCTCGAAATGCAAAATGTTGCTTCAAGACTTGGTTGAATCGGCACCTGAACTAGTGATAGGGAGTGAAGTGGTCGAACGTGTAGACCGCTTCACTTATCTTGGGAGTCTGATCAGTGCTGATGGCCTGGTGACTGACGAAATCTCAGCTCGGATACAGAAGGCTCGATTGGCTTTTGCCAACCTGCGTCACTTATGGCGTAGGCGTGATATCCGTTCTCTAATTAAAGGACGAGTGTACTGTGCAGCAGTTCGCTCCGTTCTCCTATATGGCTGTGAAACATGGCCAGTGAGAGTAGAAGATATTCGTAGGTTACTGGTTTTCGATCATAGGTGTCTTCGAAGCATTGCTCGAATACCGTGGGACAACCGAGTGGGCAACGCTGTCGTTAGGAAACGAGTACTAGGTAAGGATGGGGGAGCAATCGATGAGGTGGTGAAACTTCATCAGTTGAGGTGGTTGGGACATTTGCTGCGTATGCCGAACCACCGACTGCCTCGACGAGCCTTGTTTTGTAGTGTAGGAGTAGGTTGGAAGAAAGTTAGGGGCGGCCAGACCAAAACATGGCAGAAATCCATGAAGTCATTGACTAGTGGACTGAGCCATGTCGGTAATTGTCGACTACCTGGTTGGGGTCCGCGAGATGATAATAATCGATGGTTAGAGAGCTTGAATGACATGGTTCAAAATCGTTCGCAATGGCGCCGTTGCATTTATTCTTTGTGTTCTCTCAAATCCCAATCTTCTGGATTCTTCAATACCTCTAGTTTTTACTTTCTAAACTTATCTCATTTAATCATACTTCATGAATAATATCTTCTCATCCTAACCTCTCCGATTACTTCTAATACCTTTACTACCTCTTCTACTATTGGATTTGAATTGACAATTATATCTCTGTGCTGATGTGGTATGGCAACATGAACTGATGTACTTATGTACAAAGTTCTACGTTGCATCTAACTGACTGACGTAGAGTATAAATACTAACTTGATATAGCTCGCAAGTAGTATGTGAACTCGAATACTTACTGCTGCCATCTTTGGTGTTTTATTTGAGCTATATGAAGATCTTGTATAGTTCTTCTGGACCATTTCGTCTCAGTCAGTCAGTTACAACGTAGAACTTCGTACGTACATACATCAGTTCAAGGTAGTCAGTTCCGATGACAGTTAGCCACTTAGTTTAGGAAACAAAGTATCATTAAACGCAACCATCTGACCTAAAGCATTGGTACTTATTACGATTCTGTCAAACAATACCAAACAATAAAATCTGCCATGTAACAATAGTACCAATAAATTATTTTCAACTTACTGCATGACTTGCATGAAACATATAGGATGCTGGAGAATTATCCAAAATAACAACTTGATTAATTGGTCTACCTAAATGACTAAGATCTTTTACATAATTGCCTCGGTGATATACACAAGATTCTCTAAATAACCGGAATCGGAAAGCATGCCATTTATCAATGAAGTCCGCAACTGGATCAGCATACTAACAATAAATAAAAATAATAATAAAATGTAGCAGGTATGCACATCAACCGACAAATATTTACGTAACAGGCTACTGGTAAATTTGAGTAGTGCACTATTTATTAGTAATCATTATTATATATGTGTTGTAATGGTATGAGGGTGCCCTTATGAAAGTGATTTTTTAAAGAATCACTCCCCAAACCCTTGACTGATATAGACTTGATGGTTATTAAAGATGGAATGAACTGCTGTTGTCGATCTTATTTGAAGATTATCAAGTTCCACAGGATTATTAGGTAGATTATTTGTGTGCCTTAGAAGTTCTTTGACTCGACTCAATATTTTACGAGATAACTCTCTAGTATAGAAGGCGTCACTATCGACACATCCTAATTTATGGACAGATCTGTGTTGACAAAAAGGGTATCTAATCTTTTATATGAACTGAAAAAAAATCACCTAATAAACCTATAAATTTATTGGAGTTCTGATGAGTAGCCGTAATCAGTGGAATTCGGCCTTGTTGGCTCTGAGGCAACTACCCACTGAAGGCAATGAATGAAGTTACACAATATTGTGGACTGATTGAAGTTAGGTATTAACACTGTTGAATATCGGCTCAGTGGACGAGAGGTTAAGCATTCGCATGCGAGACCGAAGGTCTTGAGTTCGATTTCGCTTGCAAGGTTGCGGATGCGCACTGCAGATGAGTTCTATACTAAGACGAAATGCCCGTCTAGTGTTTCTAGATTTCTAATAGTGGTCTGACATTGATCGGTTTATGAATTCAATGAATCCTGTAGAACATGAAAGACTCGAAATTAGATCAGAAATGACAGTACATCCCACTTTCAGTAACCATCACGTCGATATTCGAAAAATATCAGTGATAAAAAAGGCTTTCCTAGCCACAAAGAAAGGTAAGCAGCTGAGACTAAATACTACTACCTTCAATTGAAAAAAAACCTTACTATTCATCGGATTTGGATGACGTATTCAAGCTACCATGTCTGACTATATTCACATCCCAGGTCCAACTCTACTTTCGTACATTATCATATATTTCACACCTATTGACACACATAAATACAGAGGTATCTCATATATATCGCTCTGACCGCAGTGACATAACAATGACTTGCTTTTGATTAATTGACTGACTGCACTACATATTTTTTCTTTGTCCCCTTTTACTTTAGTATGTAAAGAAATTTTGATTTTCCTACTCATTGGAATACTGCAATCTACCCAATGTTCAATTTATTCGAAATTATCATGCCAAACTTTGGCAATAATACCTGGGAAATAATAATAATACTGGTAAATGATGTAAACTGAGAATGAGCATGGATATAAAAAATACTATCACGTAAATAAGTTGACAGATGATAGAAAACTCACTTTAGCTAAACTGGCAGTAAACAGTACGCATTCATACAGATCGGCCATAGTGGACAAGAAGAGGTCGACATGCGGCCGCTTCAAGACATAAACACGGTGTGTGACTCCATCTATTTCCACTCCAACCTTGAAATCAGCATGTTCAATTACCTAAATGGGAGAACCAGTGATAAACGGTAAGTCTCATAAAATCAGATTAACCTCAAATATGTAGCTTTGAACAGTAAAATAGGTACTTTTTGAGATCAATACAATTTCAGAAATTGAATAGACCGTTTTTTATTGCAGTTCAGCAAAACGCTTTGTATATGAAGTCAGTTCATATTAAAATTTCTAAAATTGCTTAATACATGTGTCCATTAATCCCAGTAGAGTACGAGTGCAATCATTCGCACAAATTCCATAAACCAGAAACTTGATTAAGAGCAAAAAACATGGTGCTTGAAGCGGGTTAAGGATTGATAAGCTTGGTGACCATTGGGAAAAGAGGTGACATTTTTCTCAGAGAACCGATGAGATCGTTAAAAATAGTAAAGCGGATTATAAATGTTGTCACTCTTGAGTTATGAATTACTGTCCTTTAAAGAGGAATTACCTGATATGTGAGGAAACCATTGAGGTACAGGTCTACTATTAGACGTCTTTAACATAGTGGTTGCCTTCATCTTTTGCAAATGGTATGAAATGCGCAAATCGAGTCCTGTTTCGATCAGGACGTAAGTGAACTGACAGTCCTCTGATACCTGAACCTCATGAAGAAACTATCACTGACGTAATGGATGAAGCTGGTGAATTTCAGCTACCTATGTGTGGGCATTGGTGAGGTGACTGTGGTTATTTACTATTTCTAGTACTGTTTACTGGTGCTAGAGCTACAGGAAAAGGTGGATAAATGGTCAATTAATGAAATGGCACAAACAGTAAATGCACCTCCATTTGCAATGGCGCAGGGGAATTTACTCTTTGTGTTCTATGTAATTCTAACCTTCTGAACTAATCATCACCTCTATCTTTCGCTTTCTAAATTTACCTCACTGAATTATACTTGTTGAATAGCACCTTCGAACCCTAATCTTTGCGATTACTCCTAATACTTCGACTACTTCTAGTACCATGGGATTTGAATTGACAATTATATCTCTGTGCTAATACGATATGGCAACTTGAACTGTTGTGCTTACGTGCAAAGTTCTACGTTACTGCTATTGATGATGATGATGAAATGATTTTATGTTGTGAGTATCCGTTGGTCAATTATTACCCTCTTGACGGGGTCCTCAGGATGGCGAAATTAAAGAATGATTCTGTCCTAAATCAAATCTATTTTTGCTGTCTTCGTTGTATTTTTAAAGATTTTCTTAACACTAAAAATATTTTCTTACAGAAATTTTACATAGGTGTATGTTGTTTAGTTCTTGATCTCCACTCACACAACACTTATTTTATCAAAAACAAGCAGACATAAAAGATTAAAAAACTTCTTGCTGTCTTTCAACTCTGATGACCCGGTGGTTCTACCAAATAAGGAGGCTTTAATGGGTTTCAAAACAACACACATGAACCCGGTGTTATTGCTTGTTCCATAAAATAGCACCTGTTGAAGGACCACCGAGACCGATGACGAGGTACGATACAGATGTTTCGTTCCGTGTATTTACATCCCACATACCCTCTGATTGTCCAATATAACAATGAAAGAAGGTATGAAGCTGCACAATAATTGTTGAATAGTTGGTCTGTTAGTGGGACACAGATGGAATTAAAGCATGACTACGTTGCTGCGCGCTGATTGGCTAATTTCCTATCCAATCAGCGCCTGATCGATTCTTGGAGAACAGGGTAGAAAATTCTCTTACTGTTAGCTGCATGCTGATTGGCTAAACCTAATCCGTTCGATCACGTTAATTTCTATCCAGAAGCTTCTCATGTAAATGCTATAGAGGAACTAACGTTGTATCTATTTCGCCTTCGGCTTTTTATTTCCATTTAAGCCTGCTATTTGGAATAAAATCTTTTCCTATTCCACCGTGTTTTTGATTCTTTGGAACTTGCCCAGTGTATTGTGGTCAGAGAATACTAAGCAATAGGAATTAGCTGGGAATTATTCAAGCAAGCGTTACAATATGGTCAAACTACTACTCACGCCCAGCATTGAAGCACCATAAAAAACTGGAATAAGGGCACCAAAAGAATTTTGGTTTCGGATGCACTTATACAGTGTGAAGTTCGATGAATGATTTGAGCCTACTCGAATGGGAGACAAAGAACATTTACAATTTGTGTTCCGAGATATTAAGTTACACAACTCGCTAATGGTCATCCTTAAATAGTAAATGCCTTATTGCGTTATAATGCTAACTTATTGTTTGAACATGTTTTAGTATTTTTCTTGTAAATATTCCGGATTTTGATTTCCACGTTTTGATTTACACATACAAGGAAGATTAAAATTGGGAAACCTTGAATTAAAATACAGCGACTCCAGGTAGCAAACTAAGATATTTATGCTACTACCACACCAACCAAAAGAAAATATTTGAATTTTCAGTGAGTCGTATTCAGATAATTACACAAGACATTCTGACCACAAAACTGCTAACTGGAAAAAAGACGAAGGAAACATCAGTGAGCCAAACTATATATTAAAAATTCAGAGAACAATCGGTGATTACAACTTGGCTAACACTTTTATTGACCTCAGACAGACAGGTACAACGCAGAGCTTCGTATGTACGTACATCACTTTAGGTTGCCATACCGCATTAGCACAGAGATGCAACTGTCATCATCATCACCATCAACAGCAACGTAGAACTATGCACGTAAGTACATCAGTTAGGGTTGCCATACCACATCAGCACCGAGATGCGACTGTCAGTTCAAATCCAAGAATGATAGCGAAGGTAGAAGTATTAGCAGTAATGAAGAAGAGTAGGGAGCGAAGATATGATTCGAGAAGTATAATTCAGTGAGATAAATTTAGAAGGTAAAAGATAAATTATGAGGAATTCAGAAGGTTAGAATTTCATAGAACACAAAGAGTGGATGCACTCGCGCCATTGTAAACGACTTTGAGCCATGCCATTGAAGGTCTCTAACCATCGGTGATTTTCGTCTCGCCGACCCCCAACCAGGTAGCCTACATCTACCAAAATGACTCAGTCCACTTGTCAGTGACTTCATGGATTCCTGCCATGTATTGGTCTGACCGTCCCTAACTTTCTTTCAACCTACTCCTACACCACAAAACATAGTTCGTCGAGGCAGTCGGTGGTTAGGCATACGTAACACCTGTCTCAACCATCTCAACTGATGAAGTTTTAATACTTCATCTATTGATTTGCCATCCCTACATAGTACTCGTTTCCTAACGACAGCATTGACCTCAACATTACACTGTGGTCTCATATGGTGTGCATGATGTGTAATGATTGTCATACCATTTTTAATTATTTGTTTTTACGTTAGGACACCGTAGCATCACTTAACTATACACTTGAAATCGAACATCAAACCAAGTACATATACCTTCAATTGATTAGCAGATACATTAATACGTTTGAACTACATAATCCACAATCCGACATATGCATGAAAAAACAAATTTACCTTAAATGAACTATGCACCAAGGTTTCATCCAAGTCAATTACAAAACACTTTTTGCTTTTGTCTGTTTCACTTCTTGGTCCAAGTAACGCGGCTTTTTTCTAGAAAAAAGTAGACGTAAGATAGTTTCAGATTTTAAGACTATGTCGAATTTAGTCAACACAACTCAAACGGTAACATGCAACAGCTCACAAAAATGTGGAAGTAGGTAGACTTATAAAATTGGTGAGAAATAAGGCTACTATGAAGCAAAAAATTATTAGGTACGGTACTTATATAGTTGTAAGCAATAGTTAGTATATAAAGCAAATGTATGGAATTCATTATACACATTACACCATAATAAATGGTTCTCTCATAACATATGTGAGGCTTACTGCATTTAAGAACATGTATGAAGCACTTCATTAGTGAACAAAACTTTAACGGTAGAAACCGGTAGTTGGGCGGTTTACGCGAAAAAACCGATAGAGAAAGATCATCTGTATTGTCCGGTGTTTAGATGAAGGGATGTTTGTGTCGCCGGTTTTGATGTTGAGAAACCTCATCCGATCTTAAGATACCTTGACCTCCAGCTAGACAGTTATGCAGTGAGACTCAAGGCCGATTAAAAATAAGCACAGACAATTAAAAGTGAATTAAACACAAAAATTGCTTCTCTATACTAACAAATGTCAACTTGGTTAGATGGAGTAGAGCAGCAGTCAAACATTCAGTAGACTTACCTCCCCAGGACTCCCCGTTTCTAATAATACTTGGTTTGGCGGTGGTGAAAACACAAGAGATTGATCTACTTCAGAGCTTTTTTCTCCCTCAGGGTTAGAACTATTGATTTTTAACGGTCTTGCAACGGTTACACCTAACGTATAATCATGTTTTGCCTTCGGTAGGTTTTTCTCTTTTTTACGGTTGAACCTAAAACTGTGCCAAGTGGAACGCTTCAACCCATTGGAAGGTGAACTATCCTTGACTGTGTTTGCCCGTTTTGTTTGTGAAAGCAATGCGTCTGTTATAAGAGCACAAGAAGGTAAGTTAACAACTGGTTGTAGCCTGATTAAGCCTGAGTCATTGGATAGTTGGGACGACTTAAAATACTGTGAATCTGAATTCTTTGAGATGCTTAGAGATTCCATTGATTGGATAGCACTAGTAGGAAGAAGTCGTCGATTGTTGTCCAGCGGAGGATGCTCAATAATATTACCACATTCTGATCCGGAAACTAGGCATCCACAGAACATCCTGTTTAATGATCTTTGACGAGCACGATTACTGCTTCGCGGTGCATGAGAATGCTTGGTGCTCCGGACAGACTTTTTCTTCGGATACTGTTTGATCTCAACAGAAGCCTGGATCGATCGGGGTTCACCATCTTTATTGTTTTGATTCATATTATCAGTCTGAACAAGCATAACTGAAACACTTTGATTGACTAACTGTTGAGTAAAACTATAAATCTGAATGTGCAAATTGCTTTGAATTTAGTAACTGCTGTTTAAAAACTGAATAAATCCATTCATCGTGTATAACTGCAATTAAATCCTTCGTTGCAATGACCAAATGCATCCGCCAACTAATCCAATGGGCATTGCTAGATAGTTATTCAATTCCGGTTGAGATACTGTATGCTGTGTTGATTTCATTGTAAATTTGACTGTAAACACCAACTCCAAAATGTGCTCCTGAAATTGTTCATTGAACACATAATGGAGTATTCAAACTAAAAGTAACATTCCCTCGCATTTGTGTGGGATACAGTAAACTGGTTACAGCTTATAACATTATGCTTTATTTATAAGGTATATTGTAAAGATCTACTAGATATGACTGTTGAACAATTCCCATATTAGAAATGTTTGATGCCCCGAAGACATGCGTGGATTGAGATTATAAGGGCTTAGGAAAATAGTGCACTTTAATTGAGTTAGAAGTAGGTGAATTTTAAATTACTAAATCGATTTTTGGAATCGAAAAGGTATTTTACTTGGTGTGCCTCACCGTCTGCATTCAGTTGGAGTAGTCATTAATGGATTAGAAAATAACTGTTACATAGTGGGTTCTAATATTTTCCTCACGTCAGCGTATATCTCAAGTTTTGTCACTGTGTGAAAAAAATCCACTCTAATCTTATATGTGACATATTTAGTCACAATTCTAACAGAACAGTTTCGATCTATTCATTTCACAGAAAGCTGAGGATGTAACAAATATTTAGAGTTCGACGACACTTTTTTCTGTAAAACCTTTAACATCGAGGATACCCAAAGCTAGGACGAAATAGGAGTCTGAAATGAGGGGGATATAAATTATGTTCAAGTGATGGTTTGGATATGAAAGAGTGAATGAACCAAGCTTTCCAGTTGATGCGGTGAGATGCGTTGCACGACATATTCCACAATGATCCCTTGTGGATGCGTTATCTAGCGCATTCAGCCAAAAAGCTTCCATGAGAAATAACGAATTTGGCATCAATGTTCGCGAATAATAAAACTAATCATCCTTCATTTAGAGTGTTATGGAGATGATACTACCTCGAAATCATGAATGAACCATAGCTAGACCACAAATATAAACCTGGAAGCACTGAATAGTCGCCCTGTCCTTAGAGGGGACTCATCAGAAGTAACATGCATTATGCCACAATCATAGCAATGTCACTTGCTAGAATAAATACTCTTTGTGGGTAACAGCATATATTAGTGTCAAAAAGTAGCAAAAACCGAACGTCTGCTGCATACGCCTCTTCACGACATAAAACAGACCGTTAAGCAGTAGTTGTAGCCGACCATGATGGGGATAAGTAACATTCCTGACGCTGATTTAGTGGCTTGTCGGATGATTTCGCTCGGACCCAGTTAATTTTAAAGGTCTGAGAGTTATATACTTATACTTTAGGACCTTTAAAAGTGCATCATCAGAGGCTTCTGTGAGTCGGTACGATCATTGACTGTGTGCAATTTTTGCATGATGTACCATAAAGTTGGTGACTTAGTAAAAGCTGCTTCCTAGGTTCGCATTTACAAAGTGTTGAAATGAAAACTTAGGGTTGAATGGAATAGAGTGAGATTAATATAATAAAAATGTCACTACTTTAGCGAAAAGGAACACCTGCAACACCTTGAATTTTTCACAATTAGCATTGGAACGTCCTGAATTCCTAAGTTGTGAAAAGTATTATAGGTTTACGGTGATATCGCTTGGCAATAGTTCGACAATTTTTAACTACAGAAGAGTCACATTCATTTATGTCATTATGTATTTCGACCAAATTGTTCAAGGAATAGGAGCGACTGAAGGTAATCAACAATATCATTTCCTAATCTTCAGACAACCTTCTCAAGGTCTATATTTGATAAAGAAGAGTGAAGAACAAACTACGGAAGATTTCATAAATGACAAAGTTATCAGCTTTCAGAGCGGCTAAATTAGCCTGTTATATTATAGAATTCTGATTCGTCAAATGTCCGAACTCATTCCAGATCGTGACACTTCAGCTCATTAATATAACCGAATCTATCTACTTATTCAATAAACAATAATAAATTCATTTTTAACAGATATCGCTAGTTTTACCTAGTGGGTACAAATATCTGTGTTTTTCCACCAAAAGTACTTCAGCACAGTTGAAGCTTTACATTCATTCCACCAGCTACTCGCCCTACTTCCCAATCTTCAGAAACACTTTTGAAGAAGGGAGTTGTGGAGCGCCTACATTAAACTGTACCATATTCCGGAGGAATCTACTTGTCAGAGTCATGGTCTATAATATGTGACTTCTCTATTTACGTCATAGAGACCAGTATTTTTTAGACAAGTGCCGCATTGTAGTAGTGGAAATCCTTTTTTATTACACAGGTGGACAAACCAATCTGTATGACGACATCATAATCCATGACACTTCATTCTGTGATATTTCATACCAGGCCTGTAACAACATTCTTTCAAGGGACTATTTTGAGCCTAGACGTCAGAGTTGTTAATCAGTGATTTCAAATGGCATCTTTAAGACGAATAATTCAGAAATCAGAATTAGGACAGATAAAAGAACGTCAGAACCGAAGCGACCAGTTACGCAATAAAAAGGTTCTGCATATTTTCGCGAATCTACTGAAACTGTGATGGCAACGACGTTTTCGGGAACAGAATCTTTTTTTTCTACAGTTGTTGGGTATTTCCATGTCTTGAAACATGCGAGCTATCATGGGTGTGGTTGAGATCAAACATTCATAGTACAAGTGACAGATAAACAAATAAAATATTAGGAATAATATCAAAATTTGTTAAGCTGGAGGTGAAATCACAATTACTGTTCATGATAAGTTTGATACTTCAAGCTTCCGTCGTAACAGCAGTGATTATGTTCTTTACCAGGTTAACATTGGAAACCGTTTTAAAGTGTTTTCGAATGTTAGCTTTTAGCTCTAATGGAAAGAAGCCTGAGAACAGACTATGCCTGGTTGGTAACTGAATGTTGATGAAAACAGAAATATAGGGTAACATGCAAAGTGGTCCTCATGCTCTTTTGTGTAACAGAAATTCTGCTAATGGCATCAGGTATGAGGTATGGGATGATGGAGTACCAGCTTAACAGTTATTAGTATTCTATACTCACAGATATTGAAGGTGAAAGGTTTCCTGTAAACCAATTTTTAATTACATGTGAACCTGCTTGAAACGTGAAGATATATTTTTTATAGCAGACGGTATCTTTAATTTCTCGATTTATTGTAACCTAAAGACTGATATGATCAAGACACTTGTATATACGGTCGTAAATAGTTAGTCACTCATTGTCCGATAAGTAACCGCGTTCCCCCTCTTCTCCTATCCCATTGTTTTATCCACATTAGCGATTATCAAAAACACTTATACTATATCTTTTGGTATGCTGTTACGAAATCTAGCAATAACCTGTTAGTGTAATTTCAGAGTCACACAAGATATCTGTTTGTATTCGCTGAAATCATCATCATGAGACACAATTCTTGATCAACCTTATCAAATGGTTGAGGGAAGTCTTGGAGGCTAACATTCATCTGATAGTTATGTTCCATTTAAATGGTTTAATTATTGCACTTTTCCCGTAGAGATTTTCTGTTTTTTTTAGATATATTAGAAAAACATGTTAATAGGACTAGATTTGTTTACAATCTATAAAAGTTTGTTATTACCATACTAACATCTTGGCAGGAATTTGAAACTGATGAGCAAAGGTTAGTTTGAGATTTTCTTTTGTAATGGAAACGATTACCATCAACGAAATTCCTCATATAAAGCGTAAATATCCTCTTAACAAACAGCGACGTTTTCAACAGGCGCGGAAATAAGTCAGACTACATTGCACCAATGATTTAGCTAGTTTGATTCTGTATTTTTCGTGTAAATCCTTGAAAATCAATGGAACACATCTGAATGCACATTAGCTGTTTGAGTGTGATCATTGAAACTAGTTTCATATCTTTAAATGTTACTGAATACTGGTATAAAAAGATGTGGAACTAATTTCTGTATATTTTCCAGCCGAATATATTTTTGTTTGGCTTGACAAAATTTTACCGTATATTTATTCTTAGAATTATCTGTTATTCATCGATTCGCTTTAATGCCACTACTACAATAGGGATCGGTGTTTCAGAGATATACCTGAGGTAATAGCCACAAGATGATCGATTCAGTCGCAGATTAGGTTGGTTGAGTTGTTTTCGGAATGACATAATTGAGGTTATTTGCTATGGATATTGCATGCTTTTACAACTTATAAGGGTGAATTTTGTCAGGCTTTTCCGAGTTCATTGTGTCTGGAGAAGTCAACGCATTTGATAAGTCGTATGATTTAACATCTTTGGTGAGTGAATTATGTTTACTTCTGAACTATTTCGTCTGTTATCATGCAATACAGTAAGCTTCTGTCTAATTTTTGGGACATATTGCGTTCGAAAAGCTCGAGTATACAGTAAATATCATCTGTTTTATATCTGGATTCTCTCACGTTTTCAGTGGTTAGAATTACCTCTCAATATATGAATACATAAAATGAAATTTTTCATATATCATTAAATCTGTGACTTGTGGCCCCGATGGTTTAGCAGTCAGCCAGTACAAAAACCATCGATGGTTAGAGACCTGGAATGGCATGGCTCAAAGTCGTTTACCATGGCGCGAGCGCATCCACTCTTTGTGTTCTATGAAATTCTAACCTTCTGAATTCCTCATAATTTATCTTTTACCTTCTAAATTTATCCCACTGAATCATACTTCTCGAATCCTATCTTTGAACCCTGATTTTATCCGTAACCGCTATAACCTCTACTGTCTACCACTATGTGGTTTGAACTGACAGTTGCATCTCTGTGCTAATGCGGCATGGCAATCTGAACTAATTTACCCATGTACGAAGTTCTACTTTGTAACTGACTGACTGACTGACTTACTGATGAACACCACTTGATGTAATCAGTTCATCGTAAGCTCTAAGTCGATCACCAGTGTTTGAGTGGATAATCTATACAAGGTTAATATATTTCTTTGGTATTCCTTTCAGTAAAAGACATCATCACAGCACCTCATAATCAACAGAGTCAAATGCCACCTTAAGTTCAAGGGAAGCAATCATTGTTGGACATCAGAAAATGTACTTATGTTCCAGAACCTGCGGAAGTATGAATACTTGGTATATAAATCCACACCGAGATCGGAAATCACGCTGATTTTCTTGAGTTTACTTTTCACAAGCTTTAACTAAACCTTAAAATATTATTGAGGCTAATATTCAAGACACCAGTTGAGAAAACTCCTCACAGTGTCGTGCCACTGTAGTTTTCTGAGAAAGCGCCAAGACTTTTACGAAATAAAAGTTTTTAGGTTAAGTTGTTATACTGTTGGCTTTCTCAGTCAAAATGTATTTCAAAAGTCATATAAAAATGACTCGCTGGAATGAACTGTTTATTACTAACCTGTTCAATTGCTTGAAACACCATCATTTAACCCTTAGAAACGCACTCATTTGGATGATTCTTGAACATTTTTCAAAGCATTAACTTCTAGAAATTGGTCCACTTATAAGTTTTGATAAAACTTTTAAGAACAGTTGACATTTAGATGTTATGAAATATCGATCGTGCTTACTAACAATGATTGCTAACCAATCACATTTGGTTGGTGTTGCGTATTTGTCATCACATTATTTCCTAGGTACTCGTGGTAGAAAATCGTTTTTAGAGCTAAACATCTTTTAAAGTACTTTTAAAATGCAGGCTATGGTTAATTTTTCCGCTCTGCTAATTCTTGAAATGAATAAAAGAAGTTTCTGTGATGTTTGGTTTGGGACACAAGTGATCATAATGATAAAATGATATTTTTGAATGTTGGGTTTATTGAAATACAGTCTGACTAAATGTGGGCTTTGAAATCTTTCGCCTGGTAGTTATTATTTTGTGTTCATTAATCTAATATGAGTTTAAAGTGTTTTCGTTCTGCCAATTACCACCTCAATAGAATTAAAAGTAAACCATCAACCGTGGGCTACTAGTAAGTCAACCTTGTGATATCTATGCATGGAGTCGTGATGTTTTTCGAAATTTTGTATTCAAAACATTTACTCATCCATTGATTAAAACATCAAGTTATTAAAAGACTATTATTCAACTAAGTTCTTCCATAACGTATCTCATAACCTAGCTATCTTATTCAGCATTCAGATACATGAACAACGTTTCACAAGCTTCGATCTGGATAGCTACAGATTGTAAGTGCCCGACAGGAGCCATAGCGAATATGAATGTTTCGAACTTGTAACCGATTTCAGGAAATTATGACGGTTTTTACCGAAACGCTCACTTTACTAGGCTTTTATACCGCTAAACTGCTGGTGTTTTAATTGAATGTCAGAATTTCGATTGGAGTTAAGTAGCAATAAAAGTGCGGTTATATGGTTTTTGGAGAGAAAGATCCTCACACCACAGATCTTTCGATATAAACAAAATGAAAACTGGGAAATGAAGGCAACTTCGCTAAGCTCTGATTCTCGTTTGCTAACAAATGGCCAACTTATTCTTGAAAGTATGTTTCATTTAGAACTCAGTAACCTAATCGTAGAAGTTATTCAGCATCATTCAGTCAAAGAACTATATTTCTTCTCGACATGATTCATATCTACAACTGTTCCTATATATGGATACATGAAATAATACGCCATATAGTTCATTGATACTCACTTTTTTCGGATTCTAGAATAAAACATGTACACTTAGTTTGATTTAAGGCCTCAGGCAATTGAAATATTTTGCCATGTATATAATCGATGGTTTGACTATCTTTTTCGTTCAGTCTATCTGTTTCGAGACTATAAACTGCAACGCTTGAATGTATGTGAGAGTGTGATGCTTAGAAGTATATGAATCAAGAATTAAAGATATGCACAAACGAATGTATTGTATTTAGAATTCGAAATCAAGCATTCCACAACAACAAGAAGTTACTAGTTCATTCAAACACCACAGAGAGTTAATCGTGCACAAAAATATCTCATGATCTGTTTAGTAATTTTGAAAATATTACCTCAACTGATCCTTAGAATTCTGCGGATGATTAGACTCACTGACCATTCATATTTTTGTTCTACACGTTGTCTCGATAATCTAATAACTGAAAGGTAGATGTAGGCTATCTGGTTGGGGTCCACGAGATGAAAGTCACCAATGGTTAGAGACCTTGAACGACATGGCTCAGAATCTTTTACAATGGCGCAGACGCATCTACTCTTTGTGTGCTTTTTAATTATAACCTTCTGAATTCCTCATAATCTATTTTTTACCTTCTAAATTTATTTCACTGAATTATACTTCTCGAATGATATCCTCGCTCCCTAATCTTCTCCATTGCTGCTAATACTTCTACTATCGCTATCACTCTTGGATTTGAACGGACAGTTATGTCTCTGTGCTGACGTGGTATGGCAACGTGAACTGATGTACTTATGTACGAAGTTCTGTGTTGTATCTGTCTGTCTGTACAATTTTTCAGATAAAATAAAAACTCATATTTTATAATACTTTCATTTCTACCTGAAAGTACACCTAGAAGTATTTTCAAATATTGATTTTTTTAAATTTAATTAGCTAATCGCTCTAAAGGTAGTAAAAACAAAGCTGATGTTGCCGGTGATAAACTACAGCTAGATCTTGATTTGGTATCAAACGAACAAGCTAATCTACCGAACAGACCGCATATAATTTATAATACTTCAATTGAACAACTTCGAATTACTGAAGAACGTATACAGGAAGTACGTTACTCTGACATCATGTTTTAGAATATATGAGCAAGGAATATATATCTTTAAATCCTGAATGAATAAAGCTTATGATGTTTTGAAAGCGATTATTATTATTATTATTATTATTATTATTATTATTATAGTAGGTATAGTAGCTATAAATAACCATTAATGGATCCTTATCTCATCAACATGATCAAGTCCTTAGTTTTCCCAATAGATAAAACACGTAGTCGTAAAGTCGACATATTGCAGATATAAAAAGAAATTAAACTAACCATACTAGTCTTATTAATATGCTACTTCATCAATGATCAAACCCACTTATTTGCATGAATGAAAACGAACCATTGTAAAGTAAATACGTGGATACTCTCTGCGATATTTACACATTTTCAGTACTTCATAATCATAAATTCCTATTCAAATTTTATTCATGTATTGATATTCATCATTGTTAGGTTTGACTAATCTCCGCTTGTATTAGAGGTAAATGAGGATTAGAATGCTTGTGAATGTATATGATTGCGCATTCTTGATCCTATCAAAAAAATTTTTTTAATTGTTGTTGTCTTAGAGACTGAAACAATTTGAAACTAAACATTTATCTCAAGATCTCTCTGATGGATTAAATTCAATGCAAAAGCTAAAACATGTTATGGTTAGGAAAATTATTCCAGAGAATGAAAGACCGAAAGTTATGCGCAAGTAAGCATAGAGAGCATTATATATTTCTCTTTTTTATTTTATTTCAGTTTATCCACAAAGAAAAATTTTGATAATTTACAAAGTTTATAATGAATCCTTGAACGGAATCATTCATAAGTTAAGATTTAATGGCGCGTAAAAAAACCTTAGATTAGATTTAAACATTTTTCAAAGATTAAAAATGGCTTATAATGTAGTTCGTCATTGTAGAATATGACTGAAAATAAAAAACGTAACAAATAAAACAGAATAAGTCACTAGTTAACAAGTGATACACAAGATCTGTTACAGAAATTTCTCTACCAAATATTTCAGTTTACACACCTATTTTAGTACACTAAACGTTGTAGATATTTTATTCATCTGTTATGTCAATCATTTCAAATCATTAAATTATTCTATTATTCTCATGATTTAAATCATAAACTGCTTTTAGTTAAATTGCTCAACAGACAACCTGTAAGCGTCGGCGGGAGTTTCATTCATTCAGCGTTTCTAGGTTTCCAATGGTGGTCTAGCTAAGATCACATTTCGTGATTTGAACTATGAAAATCTGACAATCTTCATCAGTCATCCTATTCTGTTGTTATCGAAAGGTGGGAGAAAATCAGTTTAAAGCTCAATTATTAAAGAGCTGACCGATTGTGGTCATCAGTCTCCGCCAGAAACCTAATTGAAAATTATTCATACAGTTGGACAAACTAGTTTTCAGGGGTGCCACATGAAACTTTGTATAAAACGAGGGCTTTGGAACTTCACTATTTATACTCCAGTCCTTACGTACAGAGGCAGTAAATCCCGTCCTTTGGTTTGGTCTTAGCATCCTCCATTTCTGATTTGCACATTACTTTTTGTGTGTTTAGTAACCTTTATTGCGGATACATTTTTACTGTTCAAATAAGTTATACCTTCCTGACTATCAGATAGTGTTATTTAGTGTAAATGAATTGATACATTATTCGAACTATGGATTTATTTCGCTTAGCCTCTTAGACATTTATTGCTCAGACAGTTGACTACACATGCCGCATATACAAAGATGCTTGACTGTTAAATAATATTCATTCATTCACTCTCTTTGCTGTACTCTGGCCGTGTCGCTTGAACTGAACATTGAGAAAAATTTTCGGTTGTCCAATTTCGTTGGTAATTGTTGAAAAAAACGGTCATTTAGTCATATTGCCAATGAAGTAACGGATAACCATGTTTGTTAGGAAAATTTATCTGAAAGTTTAGTTCAAGTGATACGGTCAGCATACAGCTAAGAAAGTAAGTGAATGACTATAATTTCATTACTAACTGAACTCTGTTGAAAAGGCCATAACGAATCTTATACATACATTTGTCCTATTGAAATCAATTTCTAGTAAATCTTTCGTTTCACTAACTACCTCTGCTACAACTAATTCTTAAGTGTTGCAGTTCTGAGAAAAGCTTCAGAAAATTCTCAACTTGCAGAACAAATCTCCTCAGTACCGTATGGCAACAGAAGGCATTCTCTTCGAAGACCATCAAATGTTAATTGGCATGCTGCTGGTCTGGGTCCACGTTTCAGTCCTGAAGGAACATTTTTAAAACATAGTATTTTGGGTGATCCTGTTATATTCTATCAAATTGCGTTAACTCGTGGTGATATCAGTTGGAATGTAAGAACATGTGTTTGAAGTAAAAATATTAAAAGTCATGTCAACTGTTTCAATTTGTTACTGGACAATAAACCTGGATATGTAAGAATCTTATCAATTTCGATGTAGGTTTATGTTTGAAGGTACTCATCTGCTAGGTGATTCTCTAAATATGAGAAAACTCAGCTCGTCAGAACCTTCAGGCTACATAATTTAGCGTTTCAGTCGGATTCATCATCTGAGTCCATTAACATTATGAGATAGCTGAAAAGCATCCGTAGTGATGAGTATTATCTTTACCGTTTACTCTTCATCAGGATAATGGATAACATGGTACAAATCCATGCAGCAATTGACAGATGGGTAGAGCTATGTTAATACGTGTAGACTACCTAGGTGGGTTCTGCAAAACAATTGTAACCGGTGGTTAAAGATTTTGAAATGACATGACTCAAAATCGTTTGCAATGACGCAGATGCATCCATTATTTGTCTTCTCTCAGATTCTGATCTTTTGATGTAATCATATCTTTCATTCCTAATCTTTTCGATTACCGCTAATACTGCCACTGTCTCTACTACTATGGGATTTGAACTGACAATGTGGTATGGCAAGCTCTACGTTGTAGCTGACTTACTGATAACATGTTTCTGTTCAATTTGTCTGGTTGATCTTTCTATTCTTCTTTAATTAATACCGCCTTAAAGTTTTTAAATAGTATACTATTGTTAGATTTAGCTTTTCATTAATTGATTCAATTCAGTTGTTTTGCTGAGATCTAAATAGTTTAAAGAAAGTTTTTTGAGGTATGATGATGTCAGCTTGAGAACCTGTGTTTGAGATTCTAATCAGTGGGGATAGAAACTTCACACAGCATCGAACTAACAAACTCCCACTGATGGAACATTTTGGTGAAAATCATCATCTCACTAAACCATTCTGTACAAAATATCCAAGTAAACAAGAATTTTACTCTTAATAATGACTGGAAATGATATGAATTTCCTGGACCAAGATCTGAGAATAGTCAACTGTAGTTTTAGATTTGGATATGTAGATTTAAACTCAGTCGTTAGAAAGTTGTATACTAACTTCTGGACCGGAAAATAGTTGATTAGATTTCATATAGAATCGCAGGCGCATATTTCTATAAAATTTCGAAATATGATGAACGTTGTATCCAGTGAACTACAATTTTTACAGGTTCTCTGTATATAGTGTTGCTGTGTAATAGAAACCTTTTTTTATCGTGATATCGCTGATGGTCCAGTATCACATCACATCATAGGGATCTTCTGCTATACAGTATCATTACATTTTAAAACCGGCGCTCAACAAATAACTAATAGATTAAATCATTTATTGTAGATGGTCCCCAGAGAAATTCAATTACAGCTGCAAGCAACTATGGCAGAAATGGAAAATTTCAAATTACCTGTTGCATTGTCGTGTATTCCAGAGCAAACAAGTCCTGGATCACATCCTTCGAATAGTTCACAATTAACAATTAACTATAGTACAATATCAAATTATCCATCCAATGAACGAAGTAACAACAAATTATTCAATTCAGAGACAAGCAATTTACAATTAGATGGTGATACTGCATCGTTAGAGAATTGGAAATTGAAAATTGAACAACAGAAATTAATGCAACAAAAACTATCTAGTATACAAAAAAAAATAATCATTTATTTAATCTACTAGTTAATAATGTACATCATATCATAAATCCTTTTGTATGAATTATTGATACTTGCATAAAATCTATAAAATATGGTGTTGTGTGTGATCAAAAAGTTGTAACAAAACTCACGTTATAGTTTATTATTCATAACATTCGATGAAATATTGTAGTTTACACAGGCGAATTGACTGTTGGAAACCAAGAAGCGCAGAACAGTTGCTACATTCTAGTATGGGATTGCCTAGAAGTATCTATTCATAGCTTTTCACTTGAACTCGAGACAATAACTTTCACAATTAGTCACTATCGTGCTATCTAGTTTCTTTTGACTTTTAGTGGTTGTCTCAGTAAATTCAATTTGACATGTAAATTACAAAAATTTAACAGTCTTCACAAATTTCCTATACAGATAAAGTTACTTAGTTGCTTGCTTACGCCTGTTACCCCAAATGGAGCATAGGCCGCCCATCAGTTTTCTCCAACCAACTCTGTCCTGCGCTTCTCTTTTCAGTTCTGTCCAATTTTTGTCCATTCCCCTCATATCTTTCTCTATTTCTCGGCGTAATGTGTTCCTTGGCCTTCCTATCTTCCTTTTGCCTTGAGGGTTCTATGTGAGGGCTTGTCTTGTGACGCACTTGGTGCTTTCCTCAATGTGTGTCCTACCCACTTCCACCGCTTCTTCCTGATTTCCTGCTCCACTGGAATCCGGTTTGTTCTCTCCCACAGTAGGTAGTTGCTGATTGTGTCTGACCAACGAATCCGAAGTATTTTGCGTAGACAACTGTTAGTGAATACTTGTATCTTCTGGATGATGGCTTTCGTAGTTCTCCAAATTTCCGCTCCATACATTAGAACTGTCATGACATTTCTATTGAATGAATTATGAGAAGTACAGTGATTAAACGATAACTGTTTTTTTTATATAAGCCATTCACAAAGAAAAGTAATATATTACCATGTATTATATATTACTATCCTCTCATAAATACGTAGCTATTTGATTTTTGTCAAATACCTGTCAAATGTCTACAAACATCAAAGAATTTTCATTTTACATGGTTTTTATTTTCTCACAGATTTAACGAAAAGAAAACCTAATGAATTAATAATGAACTCTGGTGAAAATGCATATGAAATACAATTAATTGGAGAGAAAATCGATCGTGTCATGCCATTGATTAATGATGGGAAAGGAAGTGAGTTAAACGACTAACTGTTCAACACAAACATTAGATGATAAATAAACGCTATAGCTTTGATATTAACAGAAGTTAGGAATATTGAACCATTGAATGTGGATTCAGCTATCCAAAAAAATCTTATCCATCATAAAACTTCAGTTATCTTTTATACAGAGTCGTAGATGTCCACACCTGAGTATTAAGTTAGGTTAAAACAGATGTCCAATGCTTCCTGGTTTTAACAACTTTAGTCAACATACACCTATTCCAAGCTATGCATGGTTGATGATAGACTGTAATAATCATCTTGTTTTAGTAACCGTTACGCTTGCATTTTCAAGACGCTATCATGTGAAAAGTAAAAGGACCGATGTATGCTAATGTGTTCATGAAAAATTATTGAAACCTGTTTAACAGAAACCATTAAATAAAACATGTTCCACTGGCGTTTCGGTAACTCATTTAATTTATATTGTCTTTATGATTTCTGAATAAAATAAAAGTCTGTACAATAAATTTTCTCTTTCTGAATGTACATCTATGAGATAACAAGTTCGAAATTTGTAGTGAATTACTTACTTGCTTGCTTACGCCTGTAACCCCCAATGGAGCATAGGCCGCCCACCAGTTTTCTCCAATCAACTCTGTCCTGAGCTTCCTTTTCCAGTTCTTTCCAATTTTTCTTCATTTTTCTCATGTCTATCTCTATTTACTAGTGAATTAGGTTTCTAATTTTCCTTGTTACACGAAGATTTATCCCAGTCACATTTTACATCCGATAGGACAACTGAGTGAGCCTCTGAAAAAGACTGTAGATAACGATGTTAATTTTATAGATGACTTTTAGGAACTTGAAAGAATATACTTGCAAGGTCACGTGTTGTGTAAATTGAATAACATCAAACCTAAACCCAGATTATGCTCACCATAGACTTGTTTTAAAAAGTAGAAAGTTTAATTACTTGTTGTTCGTGATTTTTATGTCGAGATATTTAACGATTTCTGATCATTTTAGGTTCATACTTCACACTGTCCTTTTCTTTAACTGCAGTCGGAAAGCTTCGCACTGTGAACATTCACACCTTGTGAAATGTTTCGTCTCAATATTTTTTAAATTTTTCTTACATGCAGAATAGGTTATGCTGACAAACAAACCATATTACTTTTCTCTATCAACAAGTCTTATGTAATCAATAGAATATGCTACTAGAAATAAGGAGGGACGTTTTTCACTAACAGGTAAATAGTATGAACAATAAATACAAATTCAGACAATTTATTCATTTAAACAACTGAAATTTCAAACCTCATTATTGATGACTTATCATTAATGTTGTTAACTAACAACATTAGCAATTTACAGTTGGTTGTAGATTACTTACTAATGTATGCGTCTGTTCATAGTAAGATATGATTGGTTAATAAATGTAAGCAGACAATAATGTGTAGTTTGTTACATAATTTTTTAACCTTGATAACTGTTTTGATAGATATGTGTTGGTCAGGCCGATAACGTGTTCTTGATCCGAGTAAAATTAATCAGTAATAGTTTAGTCACTGGCTTTTCATTTTAAGCCAGTGACTAAACTATTACTTGGCGAGAGTAACTATGACTCTCTTAAGGTAGCCTAATGTCTCGTCATCTAATTGAATGGATGTATTAGGTGACGCGCATAAATGGAGCCTTCTGGGGGTTGTGGTGGCGGCTACCTCTTCGTGGTCCTGCCAGGCAACGTGGCGTTGTTTACAGCGCTGTGACTAAAAGCCGTTCCGAACGCTTAGGATACCGTGCCTAGCATGGTCCAGAATAATGGCACGTATTCATGGTCGCAAGGCCGTGGATGTGGTTTGCCACTCTGGGGGTTTAGGACTGAACGCCTCCAAGTCTGAATCCCGTCCATTGAGCGTAGGTAAATTTGAAATAATTGGATATAACTTTCCAGGATACTTGAAGGCGGCCCTAGACGAGTTGTTTGGGGAGGCAGCCATAAAGATCCTGGATTATTGACGCCAACCCTATGTGGTTCTCCCAAACACTCTGCATCTCAGTGTAGTGTGTCAGCTGGCGTCGAGGCCCCTTAAACAAGGGTCTCCAGTTGGGTTATGTGATCCGGTGGTAGAGGGTACTGGACGCCAATGATGTCTGCCCACTTATGTAGTGGGATTAACCCTGCTTGGCCGAGTGCTTGCGCTTGGTCGAGTCCATGAAATCTGCCCCATTGGAGGGTGTAAGTTCCGGCTGACATTGTGGGACAAACTCGATCTTTAGCTGCATGTGGGGTTTGGGGGCTCCAAATCAGCGCAGGGGAGTTGGAGGCCAGACGGTTGGAATGGCTGCTAGTTAGTGGACTGCTGGGTGGCTCGGTAATCCGTTCGGGTAGCCAGGACTAGCTCGGCAAGCCCGCCTTGCCGCCCTTGCCGATTGGGGATTGTGGGTAGTGGTTTGGTTGGAGGGATCTTGTTGGTTTATAAGTACCCAAACGGGGGCCACTACTCGCGCGCGTGCTTTTTGGACGTCCATTTGTCTGCAAGCCAATCTAGACAACATGTGCGTTCCCACATGTGGCAGGGGTGATCGCAAAATTGGCTCTTGTTAGAATCCTTGTGTTGCTTAAAATGCAGCGGCGTCCATGTGCAGCAGGCTTGCTGGTTAACCAAGAATTAGCCATTTTAAACGCCTGATAATCGTAACGTCATAGAATTGTTCCCACTACAGGAAGCATTAACATAGTTTACTAGAATATATATTTTGGTATCCCATCATCGACAATTTTTATCATAATCCCTTCCTTTAAAAAAAGGATCCTTTTACTGAATGTTAACAATTGTTCGTCATACAGAAAAGAAATAGGATGTAAAAGTTTAATATTCTCCTAATTCTTTGTATTTTTATTATCTCTAGGACGATATATGAGTGAATTTTGGAACCAACCAGAATATATTGGTAATGCTGAATCTAGTGATTTATGGTATGAAATTCAATGTTTGAACAATAAATTTATAAGTAGATTTAATGCTCATACGTATTGTATATGTACTTCAACTAGTTTACAATTAGAAGAAAAACAAACTTGTGCAGTAGCAAACTATCAGCAGTTACCTAAGATCATTACTACTTCGGTTAAAATTCGTAAAATTACTTATTATAATCTTTTGCCTGAAATTCGATAATTTCGCTGAAATATCGAGTCATATTATCACAGGGAATCGATGTTCTCTTGATTAGAGAATTCGAATTTCAAATATAAGGTAACAAGTTCTAACTTAGGAGTAAGTGCTTTGTTCTGTATCCCCAAATACTATCACTTGATTTCGTAGAAAACACGTTTCTCAAGAACCACTTCATTTTTCTGTAATCGCCTCCTGATTTGTAACTAAATACGCATTCAGAAACTCATAAAATACTTAAGGTGTATTAAATATCACGAATCCCCATGATATCTCATGTCTTGAAGACTATGATATACCACAATGCTGATTCAGACGCAAAGGGAACAAAGGAAATCGAGGAAAATATAGCAAAGACTTCCAAAATGCACACAAAGGATATGAGTAAACGAGCAAAAGTTATATTGCTACTTATTTATGGAACAAATAGCTGATTATTGTCTATAGTCAAGAACCTATGGTTAGTATTAACAGAAATGATTTGTCCTTGAAGATAGATACAAAAGTTGTATGGTGTAGTATGAGCTTTAATGATCCATCCTAATGTTTTCATCACAAGGGTACCTAACTTCATCGTCATTTAACTAAAATGTGAAGCATTTTCAGGCCAAGGGAAGAATAGATCGGCTTATGATCACGAAATAATCTTCTTGTTACGTTTTAGCTTCTTCTGCCTCATCTTTACCAGATCGTATATGAGTAATGAAGTTTCACTGCTAATTAGATGCTTTAGCGTCACCGTGAATGATTTTCATTTGGGAAGATAAAGTAGCTAAGTACTTGCGTATCTACTTTTTATACAAAATTTTTTTCATATTACCTTTGATTACATGTCCACTGATGAGAAGTTCGATTATAGGATTCCTTGTCAACTACCTCTAACCAAATGACATCTCATCAGTTTACAAGACATTGAGTTACTTAGAATATTGGTCACAGCGCAACTTGATCACTGTTCAATGATCAGTCAATAGTGCACATCTCAATCCTACGAGAGGACACTTGCTATTGGAAAGATCCATGGTAAATTCCCAAACTATAGGGCTAAGTTGTGTGAATTAGAACCCCCAAGTATTATCACCTCACTCAAGGTTACGGGTACACTTTCTTAAGGTGTGCTGACCAACACAGAACCTAGATCCAGCATTTCATTCTGAATACCTCTAATCGTATGTTAAAATGCCATTGATCTCTCACGGTTGAATTCATATTCATATCATTTTCCATGCATATATATATATATATATATATATATATATATATATGTATATATATATATACATAAATTTAAAAATTCATGGTACTCGCGCTTTTTCCTTTCTCCTTACTTCCCAGCACAACGCTGACAATGAAGGAAAAAGGTATCTATAAACCAATAGAATTTATCAAATGCCCTAAAGTTATAAAGACAGAAAAAGGTTGGTAATCTGTAGTGCACAGAATTTTATTCTTCTACTCAAATACACCTGTAACCAATAATGTATTACATTATTTGACATTACTAAAATTTTTCATAAATTTTGAAAATCTTGTTTTAATTCTGTAAAGCAAATCTAAAAATTAGGTCATCTAGCTCGCTGGATTTAGCACCTTATAATCATCCACCTGAGCCAGTAACTTTCTGCTTCACTTTAAACTATAGAAATGTTTAAATAAATAATTTGTTGAAGATTTAATAGGGTAGAAGCTATCCATTTCATTCCTTATCAAGGTATATAATAATTATCAATATTACTCATCTACCAAGCACGGATTTTTGAATTTGGCTGCCAACCACACTTTCTATTGGGAGATCAGATAGGTATTTAACCATGAAACCTACTCACTAGAAACCAAACGATTTAGCTTTTAAGCTACCAAAATGAAGTGTCAGTTTTGTCAGATTCAAATTTTGTGTAAACAAATGAATTTGAACCTTTTTTGGTAATTTATATTCAACAAGTCTGTATATAAATGAAGTAAAAGCCGAACTTCTACAAAATCTCATAGATTTCTTCCTAGACCAACACTGATATATTCATCATTAAAACAAAAATACGCTTATTCATGAATATCAAAGTAAACAAGCCAATCATTTGCTAAAAGTTGGTTTTACCGAATAAACAAAAATATTCATGTCTGTAGTATTTTTAGAATATAGAAATTAAAACTTTCAGCTCTTTGATTTCCTATTTAACAGGAATCTAGAATTTTAAAAACATGGAATAACTGCTCATTGCTTTTCTTTTATGCTGGTCATTTCACTTCACTTTTTAATATGAATCAGGTAATGAAACATTTTAATTCAGGTTGGTCATTTACAAAAAAGTTATGGCTCCAAATACAGACTCATTTCATATAGTACTAACTTGTTTTATAAATAGGCCTTATCTCACCGAAATACAATAACAATGATGGTTTAAAAGAAAATATTACTCGAATCAAAGATCAAAACACTTATTTGATGAATAGAACTCAAGAATTATCTGACTTATTAGATAAAGTTGTGCCATATGAACCTCTTATGGATGAGTTGTCAATAACTGGTAGGAAAGTTTTGAAAGATCAAATAAAGTAAGTTTGATCAGTGGAAATTTGCGTTATACTATTGTTGTTATGGATATATAAATAGTTTACAACATAGATTAACCTTATTGGCAATACCATTAAAAACAAGGAAGCACTAGACATTTGCCTTGTCCTAAGTATGAAATTCCTTAACAGTTCGCATTCATGATCACATCAGTAATCAGTAGACCTAAATATTTCGTAGCATGTGCTTGATTTTACACCCACTAAGTTGATATTCAGTGAAATGAATTTGTTCTCTACAAATTTCTTATGCGACTAAATCCGTGAATATTCCAAAATTGTTTTGTTCTAGTATGAGACATCCTGACAGTGTGTACTCACTCTCTCAAGTCATTACTCACATGTCTTTCGATCTTGTATTTTATTCACTCTAAACCTTATATATCTTTATGCGAGTGTGTGTATGCATTACTTACTTACTTACTTACGCCTGTTACCCCCAATCAAGAATAGGCCGCCCACCAGTTGTCTCCAACCAACTCTGTCCTGCTCTTCTCTTTTCAGTTCTTTCCAGTTTTTGTTCATTCTTCTCATGTCTTTCTCTATTTCTCGATGCAATATGTTCCTTGGCCTTCCTCTTTTCCTTTGACCTTGAGGGTTCCATGTGAGGGCTTGTCCTGTGATGTAGTTCAGTGCTTTTCGTAATGTGTGTCCTATCCACTTCCACCGCTTCTTCCTCATTTCCTCCTCCACTGGAATCTGGTTTGTTCTATCCCACAGTACGTTGTCGCTGATGGTGTCTGGCCAACGAATACGAAGTATTTTGCGAAGATAACTGTTATTAAACACTTTTATCTCCTGGATGATGGCTTACGTAGTTCTCCAGGTTTCCGCTCCATACAGTAGAACTGTCTTGACATTTGTATTGAAAATGCTGATTTTGGTTTTGGTTGAAAGTTGTTTGGAGTTCCAGATATTTTTCAACTGTAGAAATGCAGCCCTTGCTTTGCCAATCCGCGCCCTCACATCTGCATCGGATCCACCTTGATTGTCGGTGATGCTGCCCAGATATGTAAGGGTGTTAACGTCCTCCAAGGCATCTCCATCAAGAGTGATTTGGTTGGTGCATGTTGTGTTGCATCAGAGAATTTTTCTTTTTCCTTTATGTATGTTGGGACCTACTGCTGCAGAGGCTGCTGCTACTCTGGTCGTCTTCTCTCGCATTTGTTGTTGCGTGTGCGATAGAAGAGCCAGATCATCTGCGAAGTCCAGATCGTCCAGATGCGCCCTAGCTGTCCACTGAATACCGTGCTTCCCTCAGATGTCGACGTCTTGATAATCCAGTCGATCACCAGGAGAAAGAGAAAGGGTGAGAGTAAGCTACCTTGCCTCACACCGGTCTTCACCTCGAAAGAATCTGTTAGCTGTCCTCCGTGAGTGTGTATGCATGCTTGCTTCATTTATCGCATGTCCAGTCTACATTTGCCTGACTATAAATAATTAATCATGTTTCATCGCAAGGCATTAATTCACTTGCCATCTTCATCTCGCTTCGATTTGCTTCTGCGCTTTATATTCTCATGCCCGTCTGCTTAACTAAATATATGAAATAAATTCATCCACAAAACTTATTGTGCTTTTCATCACTGCCGTAGCACAAACAGGGTTCACCTAAGCATGATATATGGAAATTGATGGGGGAGATTTGTTTTGTAGAGTATTCGATTGTTCGTTCAAACTAGAGATAGACCACGGGCCATTAAAGTGACGAGCCGTACTTTTGATTAAACGCAGCCACTAAAAGTTACGCACTCTATTTATTTCGTTGTGATTATTAACTCAAAAATTGCCTTGATTGGTTGAAAATATTTATGTAAATATTCATGTAGATTAGAGTAAAGCCTGATGACGACCTACTTGAAAATAATATCGTCTGCTTATATGTACTGTTTTAATATCCGCAATAGGAATCTTCATTATATATCAGTGCATTAACAGGAGTGAGTTCGTTTAAAGATAAAGTTTAACAAAAATAAGAAGGGAATGAGACAGTAGTAAAATGAAGTCTGGAAATAGATAAGATGGATTGCGTGATAATTACAGAAGTTATGATGGGTTTTAGATCAGTTTTGATCGAAGGGTTACGTATAAGGAAGCAACATGTGGAGAGGTTCTTGAAGAATTCAATGAATGAAAAGGTGATTTTAGTGTACAAAATATAAGAAAGATAGAAATAGTAAGATATGGGAGATCGCAATATATAATTGACAAAATAACTATAAACACGAATATTAAAAAAAAATAATAATAAGCTGACTATCGTTTCTTTCTGGACAAATGAATCAGGTTTAAGTATTTCAATGGATACTGCTTAGGTGTCTCATCGCTCATCAAAACGATGACACTATAAGAAGGAGCCGAAATTAATTATGAAAGTCCTGAACTCCTTAGTTTATCAATCAATAAGTTCAAGCAGCTTTTGTGTATCAAGAACCTGTCATTTCATTTCAACAATGTGTTTTATCGTCAAATTAATAGAGTTGTAATGTATAGACACCAGTTTATATATAATATTGAGGAACCTGAAAAAGACAAACCTTAAACACACAGTTGAAGGAACTAGACTCTACTATACACGTGTCGATGAAATTATCGCAAAAACAGCATGATAACACGAAGATGTAGATAATACTGTCATTATAGTATCTGAGACCGAGATTAAATATGTATTGCATGATATTCATAAGTTCAATAGATTGTTAAAAAAAATGCTCTACAGTATGACATGTTCTGTCTCCAGACGTAAAATACAAACCGTCAGTCACCTGTCCAATTGGATGACGGATAGCTGAATAAAGTGGAGAGCAATCGGTGCCCTTAGTGATATTACTATGACACACTATAGGATCGACAAATACCAATACAACATGGGTGAGCAAAGGTAGGAACTAGAGAGAATACTCACATCAGAACATTTGACAGTCGTGACAACAGTGATCAAGATATCGAGTGGCCGACACAGAAAACAAAGAAGAAACACCTCCAGACAAAACCTAGTCAATACTTCAAATATAGAATCAGAAGAAATCACAAACGACTGTGTGGTCAACCACCTCTGAAAAACATAGAAAAACTAAAATCAACAATAAACTGTAATACAAGTAACGCTTCAGAACTAGGATTCTTCGCTACACTGGAGTTATCATTAAGAACAGCTAAGATAAATGAAAAATCTCACCAGAACATAAGACGGAATATTGTACCGCTAACTCAACGGAAGAAAAACAACACCAAAATGAAAGCACAAGTTCAAACTCAGAACTACGTAATATATTTTCATAGTTCCAGGGGAAAAACAACACAACATTGATTATGGATAAGCAAGAATTTCTCGCGTAAACCACGGATAGAAGTGTGTATAAATCAATGAACACAAATTCTCAGCATCACCAACCGCACTTATCAGCTTATGTTAACATGCCAAAGCACATACATTGGAAGAACAAAGAGAAGAGTACATGTTTGTTCCAAAGAAGTTGAGACAGAGTTACATTGAGTCAAAATAGTATAATAGCGTGGCAGCTAATTGATACTGGATACATAATTGAGATCCCTCAGTTCCACACAATTAAGAACGGAGAAAAACCTCAGTTTTTTCCTTTCGCCGAAGTGGTAGCAATTGACATACTGTAACCTGATTCATGTTCTAGAAAGAGACGATGGTCAACTAATCACTTGCTTGATAACTGCTACTACCAATATTGCTATCATTATTTGTTTATTTTGTTATGCGATCTTCGCTAAAATAATTTTTAATTTAATTACACCAAAATCATCTTTTCATTCATTCATTTGTCTAAACCTCTTCAAATCCTGTCTACGTATTACGTAACCGTTCGATCATAACTGATCTAAAACTCCTCATAACTCCTGTAATTATCACACGATCTATATTATGTCTGCAGACTTCATATAATTAATTGATCAGGAATCAACAAGCACATCGACATTCAACCATTTTATAAACCAATCAGAAAAATCCTAGATAAACAAGATCTGTGGTGACTCCACATGTATTCGGGTTCGCTTACATTTAATGTGGTTAAGCCCTTTCGATTAATTCATTTAACCAAGCCATTTGTATTGCAACAATTTATATGTACCATTCGTTCTTATTATTGTCTGGTTTGTATGAGCGCACATGACGTGTTCCACTTGTCATTTGACCTTGTCAACCAGTCGTCGCTTTTATTCATGTGTGTGCATGCCTATCTCGTTGGCCACATGTCTGCCTTATTTTTGTCTGACTATAAATTCTTAGTCATGCTGTATCTCTGGGAGTTGGCTCACTAGCCTTCTTCACATCGTTTCATCCGTTCATTCGCCTATTCACTCGCTTGCTTGCTTTCCGCTGCTCGCATGACAATCTTATCTTTTAGCGCTTGTTGTCTGCTGTTCTATTTGTGGTGTGTCAAAAATAGACGTATTCAACACTTCCAGTTCACTTTCTGATTTATAAACCGTCAGACGCTAGTTAGTAACGATTGTCTGGACGAGATAATTACGATGCTTAAGAATACGTCGAAAACTAGCCACCACAGATCAAGAAACAGATAAAAAAGGGGGATACAATCAAAACAAACGTGCAGACAACAAGTTTAAAGTCACTAACAACCAATCAGCATCGAAGCCAACAGAACAAGCTACGAGTCATATGTGGAGGAATTCGAATACTTCACTTCTAACCTAAGTTTGTGCTGACGATATTGTTCAGAAGATCAATGAAAGCTTCACAACCAAAACATCCAGCTCAGAGAACGATCCCCCATCACAACTGTCCTACTCCCCACTTATTTTGTTTAACTCTATCTTTCAATGACCTCACAACTATTCACACACTGATATAGTGTTAGGATATTCATCCAATATATTAAAAGAAGTAGCGGTCAATTCCTGTTGGTTAATTCCTATTGGTCGTCCGAACTATTAATGTCTTTTCAGATGTTGTTTTTTATTGATCGTCCTAACTGTCAGTGTCACGTACATCAGTGTTGTTTCCTATTTAACCTAATTGTATAAATATGCATTATCTGTAACCTTTTTAAGACCCGAATCCTCAGTCCGGGATCCTTATCTGCTTCTGGACTCGGACCTCGTGCTTTCTGAATGCTTGTAGAATACACATTCTACTTCACATCAAGTCTTCTTCTTCTACTCAATGGCGGTTTTGGGATGCTCGGATTAGAGTAGCCTGTCGTGTCGCCGGATCATTGATCCTCGCTCTCGTTTACCGACTAAAGTGAATTCATAATAGTTCAAGCGTATCAAATGACGTGTTGACGTGCATGCGTAACATATAGGTATAGTTATTGTTAGGAATGATTGTAATTCTAATTCCTCCTATCATCACTGTCACTTGCCTTATATTTTATTTGGTTGTAAGCATCTGATAAGGAAGCATGAAATTTTACTAATTCATGTAATTATGCCTGAATCATTGTTCTGGCTTTAGGTTAAACTTGAAAATGGAACCGATTACATGACGTTAATTTAACTAAGTGATTTATTCATTTACTGTAAATAACTGACTTATGTTAAGTTACACACTTTTTTGAAACCATGAATCGATCAGTGTTAGACCACCATTAGAAATCTGGTTGCACTGGACGGCCGTTTCGCCCTGGTATGGGACTCCTCAGCAGTGCGCATCCACGACTCCTGCACCCCGCAGGGTTCGAACCCACGACCTTCGGTATTGTGCGCGAACGCCCTAACCGATAGACCACTGAGCCGGTATCTAACGGTATTAATGTCTAACTTGATCAAATTCACGGAGTTGCGCAACCTCATACACAGTCTTCGGTAGACACAGCCTACACCCGAACAGGTTGAACTTCACTGGTCACGTCTTCCCACTAGAACTCAGAGAAGATTCCTCACGAAGCTAGTCACTAGTGAACGCAGGTAATTTGCATTACGGGGTTGTGAAGATTGTTAAGTTACACATTGTTTTTTTGAAACCATGAACCGATCAATGTTAGACCACCATTAGAAACCTGGATCGGTTCATGGTTTCAAAAAAACAATGTGTAACTTAACAATCTTCAAAACCCCGTAATGCAAAATTATGTTAAGTTGCTTAATTGTCATAATCATTGTATTTCTTAACTATTTCATTGTTTGTTTGTTTTGATTTTTTATCAAAAAATAACTTTTATTCAAACAATAAAAGTGAATCTAATGATGCGCAAAATACAAATAAAAAATTAATAGGAACTACTACTATTTCATCAGATAATAATCATCTACGAACAGAATCTGAAAAACCGATCAATTTACAATTGAATTCAAAAATTACTAATGAATCTTATGTCAATCAACCATCTTTATATTTGAATGGTTATCATTTGCATTGGCAAACAATTTCTTCTAGTTCTTCACCTCAACAATTAGGTATGAATATTCATGTAACTTTTGAAGTAAGTTTTGTTACTTTTAAATACTATTTTTTTCAAATAAATATTAGAAAATATTTCTTTGAATAATGTAGTTCAAGATTAAATCTTATACGGTGGTTTAGATTTCTTGGTGGAGTTTCGTTTGCCGAGACGGATGTTTCGATTGTGGCGCTTTCATTGTTCAGAAGAACAATGACATCAGCACAAGCACTTCAGATAGAAGTGAAGTATTCGAATTCTCCCACGTATGACGCGTAGCTTGTTCTGTTAACCTCCGATTTCGACTTGTTTACATTTCACAGAGAGAAAACTCAAATAAAATACTAGCCATTCTTTTTATTGTAGTAAAATTTAAATATTGCTCATCTGTGAATACTTTTCACAAAATTTTAATGACTAGTACATTGAATATAAACTAAACTAACTTAGGAATATTTTCTTAACAAACATAAATTACTTCAATCCTACAGCTCATATGACGTAAGTACAAACTAGTCATAATCTATACAAATGATACAGGTACAATGTAAATCTTTTTTAATAGCGTTTCTCAAAGATTAATAGTGTTTAATGTTCATTCTCGCTGTTCTATAACTACATGATGATGCATATATAGGAATAACTTCAACTTGTAACCATTTTCAAATGTTTTGATGTTAAGTCTTTTAAATTAACTTTTAACTAGGATCAATCTGTTATGTTCGTCACTAGGTATGCCTGAAGCTTTTACGAGTTCACCTTAGTCGATAAACGCGAACGAAACAATTACCAGCGTCCAGATAGGCTACCTTGAATCCCAACCTGTGAAACAGAAGTCTTGGTAAGCGTAAAAAGTATATTCTACGACACCCGGCAATCACAATACAATCATGCACACAACTCTCGTTTATTTATACATCATAGAAACGTCCTTGGGACAGTAACGAAAATAGCACACTAAAATACACAGCAGCTTATCACAATCATGGGTTTTCCTGATGCGAAATGAAATCTCAAGGTCAACTGATCAGCCCATGCTCGCAAACGTGAAATCCAAAATAAAGCATTTATCAAGCGAGTTCTGGGGATCTAACATCCCCAACACAATCTAAAAATTTCGCTCAACCTCACTCACTGTCTTCAGTACTTACTACTTTTCACCCAACAAGGTTGATCAGAGTTCAACATCAATACCGTCAAATGCCGGCTCAGTGGTTTAAAGTCTAAGCATTCATGCGCAAGACCGAAGGTCCTGGTTTCTATTCATGCGTGTTGCGGGAGTCGTGGATGTGCACTGCTAATGAGTCCCATACCAGAACGAAACAGCCATCCAGTGCTTCCAGGTTTCTAGTGGTTATTTAACGAAGATCTAATCATGATTTCAATGTAACATGAAACGTTTACTTAAATAAGTTTGAATGTAAAATGAAATTGTTAGATTAATGGACAGAATAAATATAGTTAACATGGGGTGAGAGAGATAATAATGTCACTATCAATCAAGATTCACGTAATGTGTAGAATACTATGACTGAGTTACGGATTAATAAAAGGGGGTGGATGCTGAATAAATTTCTCGAAGCGTTTGCTATAATAATAATAATAATAACTCTAAGTTATTGAAATGCGGAGAGGGAGTTTATATGAACATTACTGAGGTTATTATCGTCAAAATAATTAGGTCAGAAGTTGGCCAAGGTAAAATAGTTTTTTGATCCTAGTAGTTATTAATCTAACAGGTTTAGGCAGATTGCTGTTAACACTATATATGATTGAAAATGATTGCTCTATACAGAGTGTATGATCTGTTTGTGCTAATTAAGCTGAAAATCGACCTGTCAACAGATTTAGCTTTACCTTACTTGCGTACACCAGGAGGTCCTAGCGAACGCGAAAATACAAATTCCTAGAACATATGCTTATGTAACTTCCTCCATAGAAGCAGTTGAATTGATCGATACAGAATGAGGTGGCTAGTCTAGGTGATTTATCTTTCAATTTAGGAACGATCATTGGATTTGTGGAAAACCTGTACAGAATTTATTAAAGAAAATATTCTCCGTTCATATACCTGCGTTTGAATATGATAAGAATTCTAGTTTTCCGAAGGACAATCACTTTAGCTTTTGAATTATTTAAGAATATTAACAGTACAAATAATTTGCTGGATTTTGATATGTCTAACATATATATCTACATTTAAAAATGCATTCTTCATTCTGTTTGCGGCATAAACCATCAGTTATACAACTGTTAGACTGCAAAAGTATCCTTAAGTGGATGACTTATTATTTATTATTCATTATGCTGATGTATACTATTGTAGTGAATGAGAACACACGCGGGGCAACCGAATTGTATTTAACGAAAATTACAGAGTTACTCAGTAAAATCGGAAAACCATATCGTAAATCGTTCATTTGCAAAAGATCAGTTCATCCTATGGAACTGGACTGTTCCTGTTGCCAAACATCAATCCATTGTCACTCTTCATGCGTTTCATACAAATTCCATTGTTTTCTAACTCTTCCTTTCTTGATCGTCCCCCCATATTATGCTACCAGACTTTACGTTGACACTCACGTTATATACTACTTATAAGTAGTTCGCACCACAGCACCACACTCGTCCCCCCTTTTAATGAGCTGTCGTCGTAGTCCTTCAAAACAGAGCCCCTGGTCAGTTAATATCACCTTCCGTATTCCGTGACACGCTACAATATGTCGGATTACCACTTCGGTCATCGTTCTTGATCACTGGTCTGGAATGGATACGGCATCTATCCAACGTGTAGCGTTTACAAGTTCCCGATGCTGGAACACGGCGGCAGGCACACACTCGATAAATTGCGACGCCAAAAAATGTGCCCCGCCCACTCCTCACGGCGCAATCCGGTGAGCTCCACAGCAAGCACCAACAGGTCACCATCGGCCGACAGCCGCGCCAACCGGAACCTCTGCGGCGCCTCCTCCCTGTCCGCTGGGCTGTCGAACTCCATTATCAGCCGCCCGGTGACCGTCTCCCACGCCGTCTCCTCGGTGGCACCGTCCAGGCTGTCGTGTACCGCCTTCGCCTCACCTCCCCGCAGCGTCCCCAGCACCGTCAACTCCGCCCCAGGCCCCCACCAGCTCCACCGTGGCCCCAAACTGCTCCAGGAAGCTCCGCCAATCCCCGTCCTGCAACTCCTTCGGCCACGGGAGCCCCTTCCTTCGAGCAGGCAGCGACACCAAATGTAGTGAATGAGAACACAGGTGGGGCAACCGAATTGTATTTAACGAAAATTACAGAGTTACTCAGTAAAATCGGAAAACCATATCGTAAATCGTTCATTTGCAAAAGATCAGTTCATCCTATGGAACTGGACTGTTCCTGTTGCCAAACATCAATCCATTGTCACTCTTCATGCGTTTCATACAAATTCCATTGTTTTCTAACTCTTCCTTTCTTGATCGTCCCCCCATATTATGCTACCAGACTTTACGTTGACACTCACGTTATATACTACTTATAAGTAGTTCGCACCACAGCACCACACTATGAGAACCATTGGAATAATTAACAGTAAAATACGTTAACTATAGCATTAAAGGTGGTATCTACCTGAACTACAAACCGTTCATAATTTTAAGTTTGTATAACCCACTTCAATCAACGTATACAAAAGCTATATATATAATGTGAACTTATGCTAAACTATAATAGATGGTTTTATGTAACCTGTAGTTGCCTCCATCTACATTTCGGTTCGTTCATATTTAACAGATTTAACCAAGCCGTTTGTAAAGCAATAACTCTTATGTACCATTGGCTTTTATAACTGTATGGATTGTATGAGCTGGTACGACTGAACATTGCTTATCGCATACGCGAATATTCATCCTACTCGCTATAATGCTAACCTCTTAAATATTTTGATGACTCATCCATTTTCATATATATATATATATATATATATATATATATATATAATCTGACTTATTCATTTGCCAATTCGCTCAATCGCTAATTTGTTTGCCTTTCGCTCAGTGTGCCTGTGGTTTATGGTCTAATTGTGGTGTGTATTCAACACTTCGTACTCGTCTTCTGATTTATAAACCGTGAGGTGGTATTTAGGAACGGTTGTCTGGACGAGTAAATTACGAAGTCTAAGAATATGCTGGATACCGACCGACACAAAACTGCTGTGACCACTGGCCACCATAAACCAACAGAACTTATTTTTGGATGTTTTATCATAACAAAACCCTTAAAAAATGACAATGTTATTGGAATGTACAACATTTATTTTTATCATTAATAATTACTTTAGAATGAATCACCAATATTACAAACAGACTATATTGAATTGTTTAATAATGGAAACGTTCTTATATCGTATGAATGGACTGTAAGTCTAAATATTTATTGACTATATGATTACTAACATTGTTATCATTGGTTATATTACCGTGAACTGTTAGAGAAATTATTTAAATAAATTGTAGTTTGGTTTTTGAATATTCTTTCTTATTTCGTACCACTAACAAGTCGAAATACAGTTCTGTTTATGTTGGAAACTAGTGGTCAATGGAACATTATGGTCTTTAAAACAAAGAGAATTATTTTTAACTGATTTATTTATTGTTAATTATCCTATTATATAACTCTTAGTCTGATTCATATCATGTTCTTCTAGCGTGAGTTTGAATACTATCTTTAGCCCGTCATACTCTGAATCTGCTACAAATATGCGTGCACATACCTACACACATACCAAACAGAAGTAATACATCTACACCGAATGGCTACTTAAGATTTATTTAATTCTGTATATTTTTAATAAGAAAAATATATATATATATATATACATATATATATATATATATATATATATATATATATATATATATATTATAATCGAACTCTACGTTAATATGTATGTAGTGCATCCTGATAAATACTGCCATTGATTTTTTAATACTGTTTAATGAATACAATAATTTACTTATTTCTAAATAAAAAGTTCAGGAGGATAGTTGAAAATGTTAACTTTCTGTTACCCTCGACTCTAGGTATGCTCAAACTATTACGAGTTCGCCTTAGTCGAATAACAAGAACAAAACAATGAACCAGCGTTCAGGTAGGCTACTGTGATCCCTTGACCGAATTGGATCAACAAGAAGTCTTGATATAGTGTAGAAATTGTATTCTACAAACACCCAGCCAGCACACAATGAATCCAAGCACTCAAGGTTAACTGATCGATTCATGAAATAAATCCAAAATAAAGATATTTATCAATCGAGTTCTGGGGATCTAACATCCACAGTACTTTCACTGACTAAAGTAATTAGGATATGGATTGCATGCACTCCCATACGTGTTATGCTAGCGTATAAACAGGTTAGAAAAGCTAAATACGACTACAATAGATTGTTGTACTATTGAACACTACTAGTGTGAATCACATCAAAACAGTTCTTCATTTTAAAAATTATGCGTAATTTTCAAGTCCGTATGATGTTCTGCACTATGGATTAGATATTTGGTTATCCAAAAATCGTCATAAACTATCACTAGAAATACTACGTCATCTACTACTACTTTTAAGGCCCAGAACAGTCAGCAGTACACCTTTACTCTCAAACTAAATAACCAAATAAATTTCCTCTCTCTAACAGGTCACAACTTATCCGCTCTAGTTGGCCTTTTCAAACTTCAGAAAATAAGCGATCCACCTAGAGCCACCTGACTTGCTCATTGTAATAATCATTTCAAATATCGTCGACACTATATCAAAAACATTTTAAAATGACGAGTAGATTTTAACAGTCGAACTTTGCAAGACAGTTTATCAGTATATATATATATATATATATATATATATATATATATATATATATATATATATATATATATTTATATGAAAAGCTGCGTTACTGCAATAACTGAGTAGTTTATTACTCTAATTACTGACACATTTTTCCACTCACCATACACTCGTACATTGAAATTTGAACTTAACCCAGTCAAGGTTACTTTACTAATTTAATTTCAGCGTATTCCACAGAGAAATTATTTTGAACTGGATACCAAAGAAAATAACGTGTTTTATTTTGACTCTAAATCAGGTAAGTAGTAATACAAAAGAAAGAAACTAAAATTATATTCATACTAAAGCTGCCAATATTCGGGAGATCCAACCTAGTGTTACTAGTTATTCTCAAATTTCCTAGCTTCACTGTTTGTTTTCGAAAACAACATATCTTTTCATACTATTATTCCTTTTGATAAATTTGAATGAGGCAACAACAATAAATGAAACAGACTAATATGAATTCATTTTATTTCATGTTATCCTGCTACATTAATTGTTCTTGCTTCATTCAAATAAATATTTTGTTCAATTTTCAACGGTCACCGTCCACTAAACATTGAGACTATATTGTAAGAGGACTGATTATTCGTCTTAGATAATTCATTTTGCAAAAACTCATTTGTTCAATAAACTATCAGTGTTATGACTTAATTTATAGTTTTTCAGAGTTTTTTCATAACATCTTAAAAAGAAGGAGGGAACTTTTTAAATATTTACTTACCTGTTGCTTGTTGTCTTCAGTCACCTAAATCCCACTAGTCTGTGAGGTAGTCTTTACTGCCAATATTAAACTTATTGGTTGATTAAATCTTTAGCTTGTAGAGTGTCGATTTACTGCGTGTTCTTAAGCTCGGTAATTAGCTCGTCTAGACAATCTTTACAAGGTAGCATCTGACGGTTATAAATAAGAAGGTGAACTCGTAGTGTTGAATACGTTTATTTGGGACACACCACAAAGCGAAGCGGAGAAGCAGTGAATAGAACGAATGAAGCGACGTGAATTGGAGAAGGTTGTTGAGCCAAGTCCCAGAAATAGAGCATGACTAAGAATATATAGTAAGACAGAAATAAGATAGACATGCGACAAGCGAAATAGGCACACATGAATAAAAATGACGACTGGTTGACAAAGTAAAATGACAAGTGGAACACGTCATGTGCGCTCATACAAACCAGACAATAATAAGAACGAATGGCACATATAAATTGTTGCAATACAAATAAATGGCTTGGTTAAATAAATTAATTGAAAGGGCTTAACCAAGTTAGATGTAAGCGAACTGGAATATATGCGGAGGCACTACAAGCTGCAGGGTTTCCTTTCAACGAACTTATTATCAAGCTATACAAATGTCATATATATATAAATGTAATTTCAAGTTTTACTTAATCCTACAAAGACATTGACTGAGCATAATGATGTAGCATAAAGATCTGTGTGTACAGAGAGAAAGTCGTGTAAAAATTACCAATTTAGAAATGAATTATAATCTGAATGAAGTAAGATAATAGAAATGTTTTTGTCACAATAATTGAAGATATTAGAGACAGGTTAAATATGAACTGAAATGATATCCGAACCAATAACAAATGAAATCATTGGAATATGAGAAATCATAAAGGAGAAAAGAATATTTTCAAACAAAAATCTATGAACTGATGAAGATAATGTGTGATCATGGTTAAAAATCACGTTAGAGTTGATGATAAGACGCGCCTCTTCTGTTAAACACAGATCAGGCTTCATTTCAAAGTTTGTAAGAGCATCTACTGTTGTAAATGGTTAAAATATAAAACCATTTACCGTAACAGAAAAATTTACGTTTCTGTTCAGTATATAAGTTACAGTTTCATCGGTCTTTTTATCCCTCTTCATCGTGGGAAAAAATCGAATTACAACCAAATGAACTATTATTCGTCAATAGTTATGCTTCTTTCATTTAAGTTGTGCATTTTTCTTTTAAAATCTATGAGCATCTAAAATTTCACTTTGATGCATGCAAATTTTAATTTCATAGGAATGATACAACCAGGTGATATTGTTCACTTACCAATTACACTAAAAGCCCCTCATGAAGGAATTTACAAGGAGATTTGGCGTTTTGATACAACTCCAGTGTTTAAAACAGTATCACCAATCTGTGTACACTTTCATGCTATCTGTGTATGGCCAGAATATCATCAATTCTATTCTTTTCTGGCAAAAGATATATTTATTCAAGTAAGGGTGACTGATTCCCCTTTGTTTGTTGTTTTATGCTTCATTTTTTGCGATGAAAACAAGACTGGATATGTTGAAATGCAACTGATAACTTGTGATAAACTTATAGATAGATACTTAGGTTTTTATTTAAAATTCGGTTCAACAAGCAGACATTTGATAAAACAATCAGTCCCAATGATATTTTCAGCAAGTCAGTTAATATACTTACATATATAAGTAGTATATAGGTGGTGCAGAGGTTAGGCACTCGTGTGCGAGACCGGAGGTCCTGGGTTCAGATCTTGCAAGGTGCAGGAGTCGTGGATGTGCACTACTGATGAGTCCCATGCCAGGATGAAACGGCTGTTAAGTAGTTCCATGTTTCTAATGGTGATCTAACAATGATTGATTAATGATTTCATTGTGTAGAAACACTAATCTACATAACTCTAATTGAAAAAATATATAATTAGAACAACTGAGCTGTAATTTGTATTTTCCTCGAAACCTTTTAAGAAATAACTAACGTTTTGCTTGAATAGGTGAACTTAAATTAACCACTACACTATGGGATTCACTATGTATCACTGCTTCTAGGCCTGATTTCATTCTCAAAGTAATTAAATTAAATTATAAACTTACAAAAAATAATTTTATTTGTAATTAGTTAGAACAAGAAGCTAACTATCGAATGATCTATCGAATGTTACAAAATTTAATAATGAATATTCAACCTAAAGAACGTCCACCAAGTCCTATTCCTGAAGTGAATACAGAAGAGGCGATATTCACTCTAACTAATCCAACTGTAAGTTCATCAAATTTCAGTAAATATCCATGGATTATTGTTTTGAAAAATTCATAACAATACTGTTTTTTACCTCCTTTTGTGAAGGTTTGTATGACCTTGTTCATATATCCTTCTACAAATTAAGATGAAGTAGTTTGATATTTAGTAAATATGCTAGTAATTGACTTACCCGCTGTGATATCCAAACTGGGGTTTGGATTGAGGAATAACTGTCTAGGTACTTTAGATACGCATCTTGACATAGTTGAAATCAAAATAAGTGGTTTGCGTAAATAACGGTTCTAATATTCATCATAAATATAAATTTACATCATTGCCAAAACAAATATCAGTTATTCCTTCAACAATTGTTCAATTAATCAAATCAAAAGTGACAAATAAATGCTATTCTGTCCTTTCTGGATAGATCAGATTCGTTCGACAGATAATTTTTGGTTGCTTTATAACAACGAGTGTTTCCGATTCTGGAAGAGTGCTTCAATTCACAATCAAAATGCACACTTCCAGTCCGTACAAGCAATCCAATCAAAAAAGGAACAAATCAAATCAATATGGCTGTCATCATGACTAAGTATCAGCTTAAACAACGCAATTGCAGTTCAGAAAGAAACATAGAAATTCAGTAAAGGCAAAAGAAATAGAAACTATAATAAAATACAAATATTATCATCTCAAAATGGAATGGAACAGATTAGCAAACTGTACTACTGATGGATCTCACACCCTCTTTGCAGAGTTCAAGTGCATCCTATTCAGAGGTGTGGATAGAATCACTCTCTAGCTTTTATGAACATTTCCAAAGAGAATCAGTCAGTCTACAAAGGGATTTTATCATTTAATTCTCTATGAGTTATATCCTTTCAAATATGTATATTTTGATAGAAAAATGAAAAGATGTAGTTGATCTGAAAAATGTGATGCGATTTGCACTATGCACTTCGAACAGTTCGGTCATACACATGTCACCTTTGTGCTACGCTCAATGGAGATATGCTTGAAACTATTACGAGTTCACCTTAGTCGGTAAACGAGAGCTAAGGCAGCTAATCCAGTAACACAATAGGCTACTGTAATCTGAGCGTCCCAAGGCCCCACCATGTAGATCAAGAAAGTTTGATATGGCGTAGAAAGTGTATTCTCCAAGCACCCAGAAAACATGAGGTTCATTCACAAGCACTAATCTCAAGGTCAACCGGTCAGCCCATGCGCTAAAACATAAAATTGAAAATTAGGACCTTGATCAAAAGAGTTCTTTTGGATCTAACGTCCCCAACACCTTATCTAGGCAATTTACATGAAAATAAATGAGGGCCAATTAAATACAAGTTCAAATAAACGTAAGGTGATAATTATGATTAAAGGAGAAAGTTAACATTGTATGGAAAGAACAAGAAATAGTCACATTACTCTAGACCATAAAATGGCTTAAACATCATCAAGTTAAATTCAAGGTCAGGATAAATTGTTTATGTACACATAAGAGAGATTGAATTTACGAATAGCCAAGGCTTCTCTACACCTCAGGATTCACCCTTGAATATTTCTATTCAATGTTTCAAAGCCAGTTTCATGATAATCCCGTGTCCAGTTCATAAATATATTATTCTGGAGATAATTTTTACCAGAAACCAATATGATTTAAGCAACTAACTGAAATTAGAGAGCACTAAATAGTTGAATGCTTATGGTTTTGAGAGAATTCTATCAGTACCCCAGTTATAAATTTGCAATGGTTTAATGATCAATCTACAGGTACATCATTATTTTACTTTTCAATCAAAATTGAATAATTCATCTTCCCAATTTTTTTCTGATTTGTACAGTTTCACTACAAACACCATGTGGTTCAAAAATTGAAACAATTTTATAGAGAGATGAGGGAACGAGAAAGTAAAATTCTTGGAAGCGATAACGAAATCACGATATCTAACATTGATAACTGGAAATATTCTATAACTGAACTAAGAAAAGTCAGTGTGAATTTAAATGATCATTTTAAAAGTTTCTTATGTTTGATTTTAGTGTTGAATGTGAAATTGAATACGTGTTTGATTCAATTACAGTTATTGAAACCAAGATTACCATTGATAGAAAGTATTACTGAACTGATGAGTTGAAAAAAATCGTGTCAGTAAATCAAATACACATTGTGTTGAATAGAAACCATTGATTTCAATGAACTGATTCTTAAAATAAGCTGAGTTTGAGGCAACACCAGGATGGTATATAATTGACTTGTATATAACCCAACCGAAGTCATATTATAAATAGTATGTTGGTTGAGAAACAACTTTGGTGTTTGTCCTAAAACAATCTTTAGTGTAGCCATACATACTACTTGTTTAATCGATATCCTAGATTCTTATGTTTTGAAATATACTGGTAACTTTCCATTCTCAGGTTGAACGGACTTCGATTTGTCTATCTTAATGATAGATAATGTACTTGAGGAAGTATCTTTATATATTACGAAGCGTTTCAATAAAAATATAGGTGTAACTTCTCAGAAGTCTAGTCGATTTCCGGTGGTATGAAATGATAGTTTTAAAAGTAGTATAAATCATCTGCCTCCGTATTTATTTATCAAACTTTACAAAAACCATAACTTTAGCATGTTTTAGGTAATACTTTAAGTCTGCCAGTTACGAAAGACTAGTTAAAATAAAACTGATGCATAAACACCGGAAATGACTGAAGTTTTGTGATCACCTTCCGATGTTATTTGCTTCTGATTCACTGTCATTTTGGGGAATTTAGTAAATCAGTCATTTGTCAGGTGGAGCGTTTTCTTTAGGTATCTAATTAAGAAGGATAAATAACTTAAGACTCAAAATGTAGCGAAGTAAGAAAAACATGATAACAAACAATTGTGAACACCTATGGGCTACAAAAGTATTCTGTTTCACTACTACTTATTCGACCGCATCCCATTCTAGAGACGTTAAGTGCGATTTTCCACACATATCAGACTAAGGAAATACTATAACGTAATCTAAAATATTTTTGATTGGATGCGAACCTTGATGTCCTGTCTCTTCTATCACCAACCAACACCAATTGTAGCGTTAACTTATAATGCGCCATAAACTTCAAAATAATGGACCACACAGTAAAGTTTCCCTTTTGTGATACGAAAAGCCTGGTGTTTGTGTTTGCATATCCTAAAGTTTCGTTTATATTTTTATTACAGATGATCTACAAATATGCACCTGATATGACCAAGGTAAATGCAGCAGCTAAAAGGGAAGAAGAATTTAACAAATTTTTTCAGTGTGTTGACCAGTTAGCATTTCCGTCAAAAACAAGTTTTGTCAGTACATCTGTAGAACGTTATAAAATCTGGTACGTTGCGAAAAATTTTTGTCTCCAGAATATTTTTCCAAGTGCCTCTCCCTACCTCTACTAGTTAAACTTTTAAACAGATCTTTAATCATGGATTTTAGCCAAATTTCATATCATTATTATGAATCGTGTCGTCAAATACTCAGTTTTTCAAGATAAAGTAAATCTTTGGCACTGAAGTTTGATATCCCAACAAGAACAAAAGACTATATCGAATGATTTCCATTATGAGATGACTGAAGACTGAATAGCATATCCATATTCCATATACTTAAACTTGTCTCGAAAACTTACTGAATTTTGGCTACTTAATGTTTACACTAGGTTGTAAGGAATCCTAGGTGTTATTCTCATTACGTAACGTCAGTGGAATTTCAAATAGTCCTCACAAATGTTGTATTTTGAATACATCAAAACTGAATTCAATGTCGATTCAGTCAATTATAACAATAATAATGGCTTCATTCAATATTATATGCCTAGTACAAAATGGAATACTCAGTGTGGAATATTTCAACACGTTTTCTTGACATGACAATTAGTGGTTGGTAGATGGAAGTAAGCAGTTCAGGAATCGGACAACTTGTTAACGTTCATTCTTTCCGCAGAAGATTGCCTGCCTTTGCAATGTCTCGGAGTGTAGCTTTTTGCACCTTGTGGAACGATAGCTCTTAAACTTTTTATCTACATGCCTGAACAGACTATGCGGTTATTAGCGATAATTGATGAGTTAAAACAAACAAGAAGAGGTAACCCGTTGAAAAATTTTTGGATTCGAAAACAGGTAGCCCGAATATTCATGCAGCCTCCCATACTTAGAGTAATTAGAAGACAAGTTCGGTTTATTCTTTTAATAGATCATAATCTGAACAAACCAACACTTTTTGACATAATTATTAGGTAAATATCGAAAACTTGATTGTTTTGGATAACTTAAATGTTTTTATCATCAATTAAGTTTTATCCATTCACGTCATTCTAGAATATTTTCAATGAATCACTGTTGGGTAGTCAAGTTAAAAGAAACAATTCCTATGTCTGACAAGTCTCCACAATAATAAAGATATTCCTTTCTTGTTATAATCAACAAACATGGTAGTACCAGTCAAGTTGATTGATTGATTGATTGATAAGCTTTTAGAAACCGTTTTTTCTACCAGGCACTAATTAGAATATAACTTTTTCAATACAGAAAAAATTCTATACAGTTCGTTTGAATTTTTTCAAATCCCAACTGCTGTGGACGTTAGATCCCCAGAACTCACTTGATCAAGGTCCTAATTTTGGATTTTATGTTTTAGCTCATTGGCCGATAAGTTGACCTCGAGATTATATTCCCCACCCGGGAAATCCTTGACTGTTACTGGTTGATGTAGTATTTTAGTACGCTATTTTTGTAACTCTCCCAAGGACGTCTCTATGATGTATAAATAAAATCGAATGTGCTTGTGAACCTCTATTTCCGGGTGCTTGTAGAATACACTTTCTATGCCATATCAAGACTTCTTTATATACTTAGTATGGCCTTGGGACGCTCGGTTTAGAGTGGCCTATTGTGTCACTGGATTAGCTGCCTTAGCTCTCGTTTACCGACTAAGGTGAACTCGTAAATAGTTTCAAGCATGTCAATTGACGAGCAAATCACTAACTTATCACACAGTTCGAATAAACATCAATTTATTTGAATTCACAAATATTATATATATGTTAAAGACCTCCCTTTTATAAATGTCAAATTTTTTTTGTTTCTAGTTACATACTCTTGTCACAAAAACTTACCGATCTCTTTGATTTGTGTTCAAATCTCCGTCGGCTTCATGGACTTTCAGAATTAACTAGTTGTCCAGTAAAATGTAAGTCATCATCACCGATTCATCTACTTATAAAGAACTGAACAATTTCTAAAGCATACTTTCCACATGATATCTCGACAAGTAGAAAACTTTTAATTTCTTTTTTCTAATCGGAATATTACAAATATATCGTTAGTTTGTATGGTGAACAATCGACCTAATGCTTAATTTGCTTGAAATTATTAAGTCAAACTGTTGTAATCATATCTATAAATTCATACTGGTACATTTTGAATAGTTTTGTTAAAACAATCAAATGATTCACTAAGAAGGCTTATTGTTTCATAACAAAAACGAATTGTTTAAAAAATATGAATTTTTCCAACATCTATTATTGTCAAGTTGTAAATGATGATTTTGGACCAAGTAATGTTAAAAAGAAAAAAACTATTGGGGATGTTAGATCCCCAGAACTGGATTGATAAATGCCTTATTTTGGATTTCACGTTTGCCAGCATGGGCTGATCAGTTGACCTTGAGATTTCATTTCCTACCAGGAAAATCCTAGGCTGTGATTGGCTGCTGTGTATTTTAGTGTGCTATTTTCGTGACTGTCGCAAGGACGTATAAATAAACGAGAGTTGTGTGCTTGATTGTATTGTGATTGCTAGGTGTTGTAGAATATACTTCTACGCTTATCGAGACTTCTGTTTTGTAGTTGGGATTCAAGGTAGCCTACCTGGACGCTGGTAATTATATCGTTCTCGTTTATCGACTAAGGTGAACTCGTAATAGCTTCAAACGTACCTAGTGACGAACGTTAGGTTTTATTCATCTAGCACAAATGGGAATCGAAAACAATGCCTCAGTATAAACTGAAATTAACAGTTAAAAATTAGAATAGATGGAAAAATATTAACAGAAGCAGTTGATGACAATGCTAATCAAAATGAAAAGTGGCTCCAAAGTACATCAACTATTTTCTTTTACATTGAAATCGTCAACCGATCATCGTTATACCGCCATTAGAAACCTGAAATCACCAGCTGGCTGTTTCTTCTTGATATGGGACTCGGAAGTACACATCCACGACTCCCGCTACTCATAATTTTCGAATCAAAGTTCTTAGATCTTGCCCGCAAACGCCTAACTTCTGAACCACTGATCCAGCAACCAACGGTGTTAATGTCTAACTCCGATTAATTTAAAGATTTTGCACAAACTCATTCACTGACTTTGATATTTTCTGCCTAAACGTGACAGGGCTGAACAGCATTGGTCGCAGCATCTCACCAGAACTCCTATAAACTTCCTCTCAGAGCTAGTCACTTGTGAGCACCTTATAGTTTGCATGAAAAGGTTGTGGAAACTGTTGAGTTACTTTTTGAAATCACGAATCAATCATTAGTGACTAGCTCCGTGAGGATGTTTCTCCAAGTTCCAGTTAGAAGTCATGACCAGTGGAGTGCGACCCTGGATGTGAAGCTGTGCTCACCAAAGACAGTGAATGAGGTTGCGCAAGACCTTAGATTAATTGAATTTAAACGATAACATCGTTAGATGCCAGCTCAGATGTTCAAAGGTCCTAGGCTTGATTCGCACTGCCAATGAGTCCCGTACTAAGACAAAACGGCTGTCCAGTGGTTCCGGGTTTCTAGTAGTAATCTAAGATTGATTGATGCATGATTTCAAAAAGAAAATTTACTGACAGGGAACCCATGATAGTTTCAAATTACGTCATACCAGTTCGTTTCACTTAAAGAAACCCTATAATCTGCCCTCTTTTGTACAGCAAAATGATCTCACGCATCCATCTAAATAACTATTGTTTCTATTTATTTAGCACAGAGAGGTGGTAAAATCGTCAATCAAACAAATGGAAGGACGCCTGTATCTGCGGTAGCTCGAGTAGGTGATTACTTTGTTACGACTAATATGGATTTATGTCAGTTTGATATGAACTGTATGAAAGTAGTTGACCGGTTTCATTAAAACTAAATTTTTTACTAATTGGTAGTCACTGCCAAAGGCTGTTCAAAGATAAACTAAGACAATCTTAATTATAACCACGAATGATGCTGAAGTGATTTGACAGATCATTTCGTTTTGAATGCAGATTTTTCTTTAAATGATAGTTTTATTTCATCAGTGAACAGATATATGTGCTATATTTAGACGCATAGGTCAAACCGGTAGTTTAGATTATGAACGTATAATACATTTTATCAGAATTCGAACGAAAGGCTCAAGCAATAGAGATTATTTTAAATGTTGCGTTAGTTTGTGGTGTTTCCTAGATTAATAGGTTTCAAGAAAACCAACAGGATCAGCACCAAGAACTTGAAGTCATCGACTATTACACTGAGTTGTTCTGTTCGACGCAGACTATCTGGTTAGGGTCAACCTACTGGTCACTATAAATAGTGGGGCTGAATATCATTCATTCCCTGTTTTCTCCTAGATCTTGACTTACATTTTATTCCTCTTTAAATCATTACTAATACTATTATTTTAACTCTTTTGTTACTCATCTTATTAATTTCATCTCATAGTACTTATGTGGTACAGCAGCTCCAGGTGAAAAATATTTGCACATGCCCTATGTTAATTATATCTGGCCGACAGATAAATACTAATGAATCCTTTCACCTTTGTATCTGTTTAGAGACTTGTAAATTATTAAACAGGACACAAATCGAGGTCTACAATGGTACAATTCGGTCGACTAATTAACGCTCATTCAACCCAATTATCCTGGTAGGACTACAAATAAATGAATATTAAGCGGTAATAAGTTCTTTTCTCCAGTGAAATGGCATACGTAAACATCAGGTGTTATGCACAGTAAAGGACAATGTAAGACTTAACTTAACCAATAAACGGTCGGAAGATATGACTATTTTTGATCACGCATTAAGACCTGACTATCAAGATTGTTTTATCGATATATTTTAAGCTATAACATGTGATACTACCTATTATTGTCACTTGAAAACAAAAACACAATATTTTAAACGTGTGTTAAATATTTTCAGTAGTTTTCAGCATGCATCATTTTGCGTTGATAAAACCATATTCATTTCAACGCTTTTCAGTTGAAAAATGCATCTTTTTTTAATTTTTGCACTTTATATATATTTGTTTATACAGAATCTTACACAAACCAAACCGCCAGATGAAGTTCCATTCGATATTGAAGATAAACTTTCACCAACTGATCAACAATTCTTACCAGACGATATTCAAGAATCCAATGAATTGGCTGAACTCCTGAAAACTATTGCACCAAATTCGAAATTATGGAAACATAAAGCTTGTTCAATTGTATACGTCAAACTTTCTCAGCTGTTAGATGATTTATTCACTTGTTGGAATGAAATTTGATCAAACAATTAACAGTGATATTCGCTTCATTTCAATGTGAAATTTCATTTTTTTTTTATTCGCCTAACTGACATTGAAATCAATCATGTTCTGATCTGTTATGATTTGTAATGTTATTACTGATATCATTTGTACTGATAAATAGGTGTCTACTGTTTGAAATATTTTATAATAATTTAACACTGTCATTCAGGATAAACTAAGTAACGCCTATTTTTTAGTTCTTTTAGCAGCAACCAATAGGAAATCTTCAACGTAATTTTTCAATTTAATTTCAATTGTTCATAGTTTTAAACCATAGAGTTTTTAATGTATCGTTAGTTTTCCGCTAAGCGGTATTCTTTCATCGAAACACATAAAAAACAAACTGTGAATTCACTAATTCAACGAATCCCTAGAATCAGAAAGAATCCAGAAAATGGAAGAGGGAATCTCTGCAGACTACATAAGCCCATATAATATCAACATATAAGTAGTGTATTCATTAATGGTCCGTTTGTTCTTATGAATTCAGAAAGATAATCCTTCTTGTTAGGTAAAGTGAACGAGTGGTCATGGTATGTTACTATTTATGTTCCAGTTTGAACAGTAATCTAGATTGTATAACATAGTTAATCCTATTTAGTATAAAACCTTAGAATAACTTGACGAACGAATCAAATACGTAGTTTGATTGAAACTTAGAAATAAACATATGAATAAAAATATAATTGTGAATAATATTCTTATTAATGTATTTTTGTGTTGAAAGAAAATGGAGAACGTCAGCGAATCTTGCAGCACCAGTGAGTCTTAAAAGCTTGGTTGCAGAGAAAACACAATTTATTAGCCAGTGTGACCAGGTATTTACCTAATAAAGGATATAAGATGAGTTATTTAGTGCTTTGCCTGTGCAAAAATTCCTGGAATTTTCTCATGACTAGGGGGATTCAACAAATCTAACTAATCTTCCTTGACCATTTCTACACGACACTATGAAGATCATAAGCACACGAGTTGTTTTACTAGGATCAAAATCATGTATGTAAATATTTACTTAGAAAATTATTATTTCGTACAAACTTGTCAGTTATGTAATCTCAATTTTACATCACTCAAACATCTTATCACGGAATAAAAAACTTCGTTTGACAATGCTCAAAATAAGCATGTAATAAGTCTAAATAATCTAACTCTTCTTTGAATCCCACCTTGTTCATTTAAGTCACTAGCTTTACAGCTAGAAAGAGAATAAAACATGAAATTCTTGTGCTGTTATAGCTAAAGAGCTATTTCTTTTATTATTGTTCAATATTCACTTTTTTCTCATGGAAATCTATTCATAAGAAATTTCATTGATATCTTGTATTCTACAAATGATACTGAGGAGCTCATTTTCTAGTGTCAATAATTAAAAATACTAATTCTATTTCCAAGAATTTATAAAATATCTTCTTTATTAAAAGAGGATTAAATTATGACCAAAAATTTATTTCAACGTAGTTCAGGTTATGTCTCGACTGAGTCTGGCATTACGTGGCTTTCACTCTAAACTTAACCTGTGAAACATGTAGGTTGATTGATAACTGTCAGTTGTGTTGCTAGTTGTTAGGTTCGTCACCAAGTATGCTTGAAACTATTACGAGTTCACCTTAGTCGATAAACGTGAACGAGACAATGAACCAACGTCTAGGTAGGCTACCCTGATCTGCTGACTAATGAAAAGTCTTGGTGTAGCATAGAAAGTATATTCTACAAACACCCAGTAATCACAATACAATCAAGCACACAAACCTCGTTTATTTATACATCATAGAACAGTCACAGAAATAGCACACTAAAATACGCTGCAACCAACCACAGCCATGGATTTTCCTGGTGGGAAATGAAATCTCAAGGTCAACTGATCATCCCATGCTCGCAAACGTGAAATCCAAAATAAGGCATTTATCAAGCGAGTTCAAGGGATCTCACGTCCCCAACACTAGTATTTCCTATTTTAATACAGCATGTGACATAGAAGCCTGTTTGATGGTTGCTGTAGATATTCATAACAGAGCCTTGAAAATCTGGTTTTGATGTAACATGAGATGTTGAACCAAGTTGAATATTTTGTTTATGAAATTGATGCCCTTCATAAAATTAATACATGCACCATCCAGTTTTATAGTCATTGACATTATTTCGTGACCGTTCATCCTTCAACTGAATTTAGAAAAATCTGCAGTATTTATACTGAGTTAACAAAGCACCGATTCCTGAGTCACTCAAAGTGATTGCGATCTGATCATCGGAATTCGACCATTATTAAGGACTAGACACTGGTTCCTATTCAATGGCAAGTCATCGTACCTAGCTGTTGGACGTTTCGTCAATAAGTTTGGTTTGTCTATAGCTTAGCTGAAACCCTCTTGAGAATTTGTATATACCCTTAACATGATATAGTATCTGATTTGAAACAGCTTTTTGATAGAAAGTTTTGCTTAATTTGATAACCTAAATCGAAAATCTTTCAGTATTTTGAAGGTTTATAACCTGAATATGCACACATTTTTGTCCTTTTTTTTAATATATCCAGACGTCTCACTTTTAATGAACATTAAGCCATCCTACCTCTACATTAACTTTTCTGTGAAAGGAATACCGATTTTTTCGAAGCAAAAAATGAGATATATGATGAAAAATTAGCATTTTTCGTCACTGTTTCTAGCTACAGGTTGTGTAAAAGCTTTTTTCTGGTGCCAAATATTAATCAGTACGTATCTCTCTGTAAATTCTGACTGTGGTCAAATTTTATCCTTAAACAGATATGATGCATCGAAATGGTGCTGTTGATATAGTAGTCGTGATTCTGATACAGTCGACAAGAATCTTCTGATGCTACTTTGAAAGCAGTTCGGTTGAAACAGGGACTATCATGAACCAGAATCTATAAATTTAGCTGCGTACCGGTAGGAGGAAACTAAATCTCCTAACTGACTTGTTTTAGCGTGCCGGCTTTTGTGTAATTGTGTGTTGCTACATGATCTTATTTTTTGTGGCTGAAGTTTCTACTTTTGTCCATATTTTTTAAATCTAAAGGAAAAGATGTATTTTCCAGAGGATAAATCTTATTGATTACCTAAGCCTGGTGGTATACTGTATTATGCGTAATTCATGTTATATCGAAGAGAATGCTTGACTGCATGTTGACCACATTTCTGAAGATCTTTTAATGAAACCATTATTCTCATAATTTTATTCATGCTTAAGATTTAATGTAACATTATTCTTGAAATTGCCCATGAAAAATATAAATTCTCCTGAAGAATTAAACCTGAAATCAACTAGTACTATCTAGGTTGACTAAACTGACCTTTTGAATAATTTTAATGCAGTTCAAAAACACGCAAAGAAATTTTACTACTTATAAGTAGCCCAACGAATACTGCTTAAATTATTACGAAGTTAACTTGAAAAAGCCAATTTATTGTTCAATAGAGATTTTACAATTTCATATTTTTTTGAAATTAAATAAAAAACATTTTAGAGAGGAGCACTGAAATATTTGTATTAAGTTAAAATAATATAGTCATAAAATAATAAATAATATGATGACCATATCCAATATGTTGTCAATAAAAGTTGTGACGCGTTTAATTGTTGTTAAAAATGCATTTCAACCTTCACCATGAATGACATAACTGTGCAGAGATTTTCGTTAAGATGAAATATAATTTGATAATAACACTAGATCAATTTACAATAAAATGTTTAACCTCAGACACTGAAAGGATTTGTCCAATGATTTAAATGAATTATGAAAATTGTACCTGGAAAAGTACATTTGATAAGAATAGTTGTAAAAATTAGAACTTTGAAATATACTTCAAAGTGTGGCGCTTGATTAGTGAAATACAGATGGGTTAACCATAAAAATTGCCTAGCTTAACTCCTCTGATTTAACGGGAGCACATGAATGACCGGCTGTAGATGCTGAAGTGTTTTTAGAATTACTTACTCTGACACTTTCCTTAATATGAACACGAGCATGTCTATGCATACTGTGTTTCAAAGAAAACTCTTTTCCACAATGAGGACAAACAAAAGGTCGCTCACCAGTGTGTGATCTCATATGCCGTTGTAAATCTTGTTGACTGCCAAAGCGGTGAAGACAAACACAACATGACACATAACGCATATCATAATTGGCTATCTTTATGGAATAATTAATTGGATCTTTTAACTCCTGTACGTTTGTATTAGTTTCATTTTCTCGCTCTGATTCAACATTTGCCTGATTGCTTTTGCTGAAAGTTAATTGTATTTGAGTTAAAAGATCAGTTGATCTTTCATTTGAGCTTTGTTTTTTGATAAATTTAGCCCACTCGTTTGGGTGCTCCATAGCCCAATGTGTTAAAGTCGATGCTTGGTCCTGGAATGTAAGTTGACACAAATGACATCTGAAAACTGGGTTTTCTATCTGATGTAGTGTAAGGTGACGGCGAAAACACCTACTTGCAACTGGTACTGAACAAACTGGACAAGAAAGTATTGAAGATGTGTTTTTCGATGTTGAATGCATCGACAAATCCACTGGTGGTTCTGTGACATCGTCAAGTAGAGCATTATGCGTATTACTCGTTTGAGGAATTGTACGGAATGTCATTTGATCGCTTCTATCCAGAACACTGCTTCGCATGTTCACCATGTTACCACGCCTAGGACGCCTACCAACCCTTCCCGTCCGCCTTAACTGAACTGAAATAGCTGGCAGAATACTTTGAGAAACGTCATTTATACAAGTCGAAGTGCTATTTAAATAATTTGTTAAACCACTTCTTGTTGAATTTGCCACTGCTAATAGTGCTGCGTTATAGAGTCTTTCAGGATTAGGTTCTACTACTGGATCACCAGCTCGTATTAACAGGCTATTACTGATATCCTCTGCTTGCTTTTCATTGGAATTCATTGATAGTATTTCATCCTCTCTCAATTCTTCAATATTATCAAGTTCTAGATCATTGTCTCCCATATTAGTTCGACTAATAGAATTTAGATTCGAATTTTGACCACTTAATTCAGAACGATTATCACCAGTAGAAGGACTTTGTATACTCATACTTGATTGATGAAAACGTTGACGTTGTCGTTTCAAACTGACTCGGTGAACACGTTCCATATGACGTTCACGATTCGATTTAGTTGAAAATGATTTTGTACATCTTGTACATGCAAATGGTTTATGAGCTAAAGTAAGAATAGAAAATTCGAAAAGTCAAAAATGAATATTTAACAATGTAAAACATATCTCATTAATAACACTTTAAATTAACTTTTAGTGTTTCTCAATAACATATTATTAGTATCAAAGTAATTTTAAGTACCGAAATTCAATGTTAATTGATCAACTAACATCCATTATCTGTTAAATTTATCAATAAACTATAACCAATATATGTTGAAAATAAAACAACTACTATTTCAGTCAAAGATAGACATACTTTATTAATGATCTATAGAAAATTTAAAATAGTAATATTTAAAAAGCATTACAACTTACGAGTATGCGTTAAAATATGTCGTTTTAATGAACTGTTCCATGGAAATTTTTGCTGACAACCAGCTATAGGACAAGTGATTAATTTAGGTGCATCTTTATAAGAATTCTTTTTTTGAGTCAGTGTTGTTGGAATAGTTGAATTAACTGGAAATATTTTACTCATATTTGATGTATTTCCTTGTAATGATAACATGTTTGATGAAGTATTTTTAGTGATGGTAGTAATATCAGCAGCTGTATCACTGTTATATTCATTACTAACTGAAGTGGACAATGTTTTCATATGTTGCATAATCGGTAGACTGTAAATATCATGTAAAATATTGTTTAGATTTAATTCTTGATTAGATGATTTTATGACCATTTCTGATTGAGTTAATATATTCGTGGTTGTATACGATGAATACAAAGTATCAGATGTATTAATCGGTGTAAACACTGGAGGTTTTAAACAAACATCCGAGTTTTTTCTCCAAGTAATCTCGGATTTACTAAGTGATTGAAGTTCATTTGAAGGTGTAAAACTGTCTTCTACGGTATTTTGTCTTCTGTTATGCAATGAAAGATCTAGTACTTCGTCAGAATTCGATTCTAGCGATTGAGTATAGTTTTGTAATTCTGTTATATCAGCTAAATAATGATCATTGTAATTATAATGAACAAGTGATGGTGATTGTCTACTAGATGCATTGGATAAATGATTTGGTGAAAATGCATAGTTAGTATTTGTTAACATAAACTGATTTTGACTTTGTGAAATTTTTGATCTAAAATAAAGTAGTAAAAATTGACAAAGTGTGTTAATGAAATTGAAAATATTTTTTGAAAAAAAAACACTCATTGAAATTGTGAACAAATCAAAAGGTAACATGTTGTATTATGGGACATGAAAATCTGAAGTTCGATCCCAAGTAGAGGGTCATGGAGAGGATCCAAGTTTCTCTGTGGTTTATCAGATAAAATTAAAGGGATAAAGTTCATCTCACAATAAATCACAACCGCCAGAATTTAAAAAGTGTTGTTTTTACTAAAATTAATCAAAATAACTCATCACCAGTAATCTACTGACTGAAGAGTTTGGTCATTTGGATTTAACGTCATTATATACTAAAAAAAATATACACTCTCTACTTGAGAATGATAAAATAAGAGATGCGCAACTTAATCGAAAATTATACAACTCTGCTCTACTTAAATACTTGCTATACTTAAATTTATCGTATTTAGCAAATGTTTGAAATGATGAATACAAACTTACCGATATGGCGAAAATGGATTATCACCTAATTCGTCTTGTTTCAAATTGTATGGTTTATTCTGTTCACAATCAAAGTGTAATGCATCTACGGATAGAAAAAATATGTAAGTCAATATTACTACTTACAAGGTAGTTTTTTTTTATTAAAATAAACAACTCATTTATTGACAAGACTAAATGTGACCTCAAAAAGATATATAATTGTAAATTTAGATTTCGGTCTAAATTAAGGGAAAAATATGTATCGATTACCAAACCTATTATTCAACAGATACTGGTTATTACGAAGGCTACATCAGGTTGTGTTCCAATCAGTCAGTCTTAACAGGTATGTTGTTTATTCTCTCTACAATAGAAAATAGCTAAACATCTAAATACCATTGTTGAAATTCATTTTCACAGTATTCAGCAAAAACTAACTTCTTCTTCAAATCCTTTATGAAATAAAATGTAATTTTACAGTTCATATCATGAAATGATCTTAGTTAACCAACTATTAGGAATCAGGAAAAAGTGAATATGTGTTTTGTCATAGTATGAAATTGCTTAGCAATTTCCTGCTATAACGACATCTGGGACCAAACAGACGACTTGTAGCCCTCATAGCGAGGTCTTGATATTGCGGCAATTGATTCCAGTTCAACAACCATCAAAAACCGAATGATTCCTGAAGGATTGAACTGCTATTAAAAGTTGTGTACTGATACCTCATCCTCTTTCCACCAAAATCGCTATTACTCAGAAAAATAATCTGCTCTGACAAGAAAAGTCTATTTACTACTCATTTAAGTAAACTAGATAATAAGATACTAAAAAATCCAAGTATACCAATACACTTTATTTCTGACTAGTATAATTAAACTAATTTGTAATTTCCACCACAAAAAATCGCCTCGTATTTTTCTCATTTCAAATCAGAAAAATGACAGTTTTTGACTACTATTCACAAAACTAAAATATTTTCCAGTTAAGAATCAACAATAAAATATTTAACAAAGTAAATTATATTTGAGAGAGAGAGAGAGAGATTAAAAATATGACAAGTGTACTTCATTATTTTAGTAAAACACTTTTCTTTTAGATTTAACCTGTATATATGCATCTGTATTTGTGCATATAGATATTTATGTGTACACGGGTAAATTTCACTTTGATTCATAGTGGCTCCATTTTCTTTATTCAATTTCCTAACTGTTTTTTTAAACAAAAACCCATTTCTTCGAGTTCAATTGCTTATGAATGTGAAAACTAAAAAACCATAAATTAGTTTAATCTTTTTTCAATGTGAGTGAGAAGAGGTACTTTTCAACTTTTTATTTAGTCAGTTCAATTTAAAAAAACAAAAACATGTTGTTTCTTTCTTTTGTTCAATAAAATTATGCATTTTTTCTTGAAAATGAAAAAGACGAGGTTTTATTTTTTTTTCAGTTTTTCAACAAACTGGGAACATTATTAAAAACATGTTTAGTTTGATTTAATTTTCTTCTATAGTGTTATAAATGAATGCAATTTGTAAAGTATGGGTGTACTTGACCAAAAGTTCATTTTCTGTCTGTTAATCTAACATTCCTATATTTAAGATCTGTTCTCTTGTCTTTTCTTGACTATTTTGATGAATTGAAGTATATTTCAGAACAGATTAAGATCAGTTTGTCAGTTAAGGGAATTAACTGTAGCCACTAGTCACTTACTTCTGAATGTGGTTGTGTTTCGTTCTCTGAGCTGGTTGTTTTGGTTGTGGAGCTTTCATTGTTCTTCTGAACAACATCATCAGCACAAACTTCAGATATAAGTGGAGCATTCTATCTGAAGTTTGTGCTGATGATGTTGTTCAGAAGAACAATGAAAGCTCCACAACCAAAACAACCAGCTCAGAGAACGAAACACAACCACAATCATCCACGTGAGCTACAAGTTTTCTCCACTTACTTCTGAGGCAATATACTGTGTATGGAATTTCCAAAGTAAATTAATATGAACTATCGAAATTAATCGCTTGTAAAAAAAAGATATAAATCCGACTTGTTGCAATTAAATACATATTTCTAGTTTAAACTCTAATCATATTAGGAAAATGGTTGATGCAATAAACTATAACTTTGGTTAAATTCGTCACATAACGTCTCTCGATCATGGTGACTGAGTTGATAGTATTCATTACACGTTGGATGAGTTTGAGTTGTACATTCATAAAAATCTTAAGAAATAATATTAATTACTATGAATAAGTAATTTCGTAACAACTTACTCAAAGGTTGAAATTTCATTTCTGCAATTTTTCTTGTCTGTCTTCTCTTCCCTATTATTGACAGACTTTTCTTCTTTTTAGCCAAAATATAACGAACTGAAAATGTTTTCTGTGTAAAATTTAACAATACAAAGAATAGAGTAGTTTAAATAGATTTATTACGGTTAACTCTATTGATATTTGGTAAATAACTGTGAAAAAAACTAATGAATACATTTTTTCAATCGCTGTCATTTTCATTCTGAATTGCGAAAGTCTGTTTATCGTGATCACTTCTGATAACTTGTGAATATATATTATTCAAACAAAATAGCTAGTTACATGTTAGTTATCATAACAAACATTCTTAATTTTAATTCATATAATAAATTAAAACTTACGCTGGAACACAATTTCGCAACTCGAGGTCTCTTTCTTATATTCCGATTTATTTTATTAACACAGTTTAATTGTTTCTGATGAAAACAGCCCATTTCAAGATTTAAATTAGGTGATGAAGAAATAACATCATAGTCTGTCGGATTAAAATCATAAGTTTTATCAAATTTATCAATCAACTGATCTTCAGTTTCATTTGTCATCAATGATGGGATTTCGTGGATGGTGATTCTTGGCGATTCGGAATTAGTAGATAAACAATGCGGAAATTTCTCCTCAGTCATTTCATGTTCATTATCGATAATCGATGATGATGAGGATAGATTATTTGACCTGAACAGATTATTATTATTAGTCACATTGCTTTTAGATAAAAATGAAGGCAGTAGACTAGGAAGAATTGCTCTTGCATCTAGACTTGCATGAGATGTTGTAGTACTGTTTAACATACCATTTTTACTTAATTGTAACCAATAATTTGAAAATAATTGAAGTAGTGTTGAAGTTGTATTGAATTTATAAGATGACGACCAATTGTCGGTTTCATTAAATTTATTTAAATCATTATCATTATTCTGTTGTTGTTGTTCAGTTTTCATGTAACTTGTTGACCAATCCATTAAATTATTTGAATAACTAGTTGATAAGTTTGATAAATTGTCTGCTTGATATTCTTCTGAATCAGTTGATGTAAATTTCATTGGTTCTGTTTGTATAGTTTCATTGAAATAATATGGTGTATTTTGTATAGTGTTCAAACATGACTTGATATTCAAATTAGATTGTTTTATAGTGTTGCTGTTGTTGTTGTTGTTTGAATTGGAAGTGGACTGAAATAAATTCAAATTTGGCATACATTTACTTTCGACATTGCCTAACAGATGATCATTTCCTGAATGAATTTTGAACTTTTTTGATGAATTCATTCCATAATTATTTGAATCGAATGATTTTAATGATGATTTTTGTACATTGTTAACATCTTGATAACCATTTAATTCAGTGGTATATTGAACAGCTGATTTTGGCTTGTTATGAGTATTAGAACTAGATGGGACACGTAAACTATTTGAAGAATGAAACCATTTAGGTAAGAATAGTGGTGATTGTTGTGCTACTGGCTGATTAGTTGGTGAGGATGTTGAAATTGTTGAAGTGAATGAAGTTAAATTATTCCCTGTGGTTGCTTTCACCTGATGTGATGTACGAATATGTCGACTTAAATTACCATTGGTTGTAAATGCTTTATCACATAAATTACAGTTGAATGGACGATGATCTATACAGCGAGAAAATCAAAAAGAAATTATCAGCAATTATGATATGGAAAGTGATAATACCGACTATTTGAAAATAATATTTAGTATTATGATTATCGGCAGTGAATATTGTAATGCTGAAGAGGAAATCATGTTTTACACATTGATCTTATAAAATATTAACACTGTTAGATTTTACTGATACCTATGAGCACACTAATTTGCTACTTTCAAAATGACACATTTTCTATTCTGAGTATCGAGCTAACAAAAAGAAAGATACCAATTGATAATAATAAAAGTCATAACTTTTCAATATTACTGATCAGTTTAAAAACACATGAATAGTAGAATGTTTTGGTGTACCGTTTTTCATTGTAAACACTAAAAGTACTATTGCTTAACTTCAGTTAATTGATTAATTTCATATAATTTGCCTTATATTTGCAAAAAATAGTAAGACTAGTTTGGTATTGGTTCTAGTAACCTTGTAATGACGGTTCCTTGAACCGCATAATGTGTCGATGCTTCAACCGACAACTCCCATTCTCTTTGTGAAATTTTCACTTATTTCGTTGCATCAATGCACCAACAGTATGTTACAAATGAAGAATTGTATATGAGAATCAGACATTTATCCAATACTGACTAGGTGTTTTTCATAATCCGTTCACCAATTAACAGACCAATGATGTAAAGTATTTTACAAATCAACCAGATAGAAAAATTCTTTAAAAAATTTTTTTTACATATGAACAAAAATTTCCAACTTACTTGTATGAGTTAATAAATGACGTTCCAATGAACTATTGGAACTTAATTCACTGAAACAAAAACAACAAACATGTTTATAGTCTTCACGTTTAAAATTACTTTGATGATCTTGTAAATGATTTGTTAAATGTCCACGACTAAATATTTCATCTTTTGAACATAAAGGACAACGAAACACTTCGACATTACCACGTAGAGCATATGGTTGTATCTACAAGAAAAATATATATATATAAATAAATCAAATATACATTATTCATACATGATAGGGTATTTTTACAATTTTCTGTAATTCGATAAAGAATTTTGCTAGTCACATTCAATAATTTGAATGATTTAAAGCATATCTTAAAATCTCAAAAACTAAAACACTGTTTACCAGTGATCTTTTACCATGTCACTTGAAAACGTCGATATCAACAAATAAAATTTGATTGGAACGTACTACAAGGTTGTATAGCATTAAGGATGTTTGAATAGTTGAGTCACAAATAAATCGATATTGGACTTTGTCAAACTTTTTTTGATTAAGTGCATTTATTTACATGGGATCCAATGACAGCCAATATATTCATGCATGATCAATGAAACTATACACTATAACCAAATATTAACTAACCTAACACTCTACCTACTCATATAAGGCGATATCGACCATACAGGCCTTACGATATCATCAATCAAAAATTGTAAATATCCATTTCAATATGCATAACAATAAAGTACAACGCTTTAATCACTTATAAACATGTATAGAAAATTACTTTGTAGACATAACTAATGAAATAAATCCTACAAGATGATAGATAACATTCTTTGTCAAAGTTTGTTTATCAGTCTATTAACTATAGAGTTAAGTTCATATCTTTAAACTGATCCATAAATTATAAGAAAACATTTTGGATAGTCAAAACAAAATTGTATTCACACAACTTACTTTCACTTCGGCACGATTCTTTCGATTAATTGATTCTGTGCTTAAATTTAATTCACTATCTGAATGTGATTCATCTAGATTTGTTTCATCCTGTTGTTTCGTTTTAATCACATTCGATGATGTATTTAATAGATCAAAATTTCTTTTATACTCTTCCATGGATTGTTTTATCAAAGGTGTTTGATTCTCTTCACAATAATTAACTACTATTAATGATTTTTGTTCAGTTGAATAATTATTGTTGGCATCAGTAAAAGTAGTGTTGTTCGTATTATTATTATTATTATTAGTAGTAGTAGTAGTAGTAATAGTATTTGTAGTAGTAGCAGTAGTAGTATTAGTAGTAGTAGATGCAGTAGTAGCGAACGGTGTTATTTCACTAGATTCTTTCATTGGCATTTGATTGTTTTGTTGATTATTCGGTGAGACAACCATAATTTGTGTTTCATTCATCATTGTCATCATCATCATACTATCTAAATTATCAATATTAATTGGACTAATTGTAGTTGTATTCATTTGTGATGTAGGCGTTACATTGTTGTCATTGTCCAGTTCATGTACAGGTGTAGAAGTAGAATGTTTCACATTGAGCATACTTGTTTCATCATTCAAACTTAAACAACCACTATCTGCATAAGATGGAACATGGAATGATAATGAGGATGATGATGGTAAGGATTGTTTACTCGAGGAGTTTAATAAAGTTTGTGCAGTTTGATAATGACTTGTTGAATGATTTGTCGATAACACATGATGATCAATTATATTAGGAAGAGATGTTTGTAAATTAAGACTAGATATATATGTAGTATTATTATTATTATTATGATCTTCATAATTCCAATTAGATACAGGTGGTAAGTTTGATAGATTCTGAGCAGACGAAGAAAAAGTAAAAGAAAAAATTGGAGAAGAAGCTAGAATATAGTTTTCATCGAAAACCATGTGGTTTTAGTTTGCAATTGACAAGATAGCAAATTTGTTTATGGAAAACATATATATCTGGCAGTAACCCCTGAAGGGCTCTAGGCAGAGTTAATTCTATGTACACCAGTGAAATAATAAATCTAAGATTTATTTATATCTCGTTCAATTTAATCAATAACTACCAAAGCCATCATCCAGAGGATACAAGTGTTTATTAACAGCTGTCTACGCAAAATACTTCGTATTCGTTGGCCAGACACCATCAGCAACAACGAACTGTGGGAGAGAACAAACCAGATTCCCGTGGAGGAGTAAATCAGGAAGAAGCTGTGGAAGTGGATAGAACACACACTACGAAAAGCACCTAACTGCGTCACAAGACAAGCCCTCACATGGAACCCTCAAGGTCAAAGGAAAAGAGGAAGGCCAAAGAATACATTACGCCGAGAAATAGAGAAAGATATGAGAGGAATGAACAAAAATTGGACAGAACTGGAGAGGGAAGCCCAGGACAGAGTTGGTTGTCTAAAACTGGTGGGCGGCCTATGCTCCATTGGGGGTAACAGGCGTAAGTAAGTAAGTAAGTAATTATTTGCATAGTTTTATTTACGGTAAAAATAAATTATCAAGTCCATACACACCATAATATGGCTGTTGAATAATTTTAGAATAAATATATGTTCATTGTATTTATAGTCTTAAATGGGATAGTAAATACTCAATTTTTTATAAACTTCATAAATGTTAACAACTGTTTCATGGTTAACTAATAACTTCACATTCTTTGTTTCTATTATTTCAATAGTTTTACTAAAACTTCTTACTCGAAGTGGTATAGCTCAGTGAACTGAGACCTCCTGTATCAGTTTCTTACGGTATAATCAGTAGAAATTCATGAAATTAAGCCTAATGACACAATTATATTGCCTGTATTAGAGTCAGCCAGCTACAACGTACAACATCTTACGTACATATATCACTTCAAGTTGGCATATTATATTAGCACATGGATACAATTGACAATTCAAATTCCATAGTGGTAGAAATAGTAGAAGTATGAGCAGTAATCTCTGAAAAAGTATAATCCATTGAAATAGATTTGAGAAGAGAAAGATGAGGTTCATGAAGGAATTCAGAAGATTAGAATTTGAGAGAACATAAAGAATGGATACACCTGGGTAATTGGCACGTATTAGAAGATAAGTACAGATTGCCAAGATAGATTAAAATCAAATTGGTTATAAAAAAACTTAAATAAGATTGATATATCTGAGGCTGGATTGTATTAACGGTCTAATCTTCATGTTACATAATAACAATACACTGAAAGTACGTCTGATTAAGTTAGAATTAGCATTTTTCTACACTTTACTGATGTTTAGATAATAACCACGTCAAAAAACCTTCGAAAAAATCTTTGGCCTTAGTTGTCACACAATAAATAGTTATCGAAATGAGAGATACTTTAGAAGTCAGATACTGACCACCATTTCATATCATTCTTATGTGGTTGTGGAGATTGTTGAATTTCACAGAAACCATAAATCGATTTAGCGACAAAACGACCGTTCAGTGCTTTCGAATTTTCAATGGTTGTATGACATATATTGTTTCTTAATTTCATTACAATCTAACATTCAGTACAATCGATTTGAATATACACGAATCTAGTTCACTTGATTACCAGTTGAAGTCAATATTTATTAACAAAACAATGTGGAATTATGATATGCAAAAAAAATATTTCATATATATATACATAAAATATCACTGAAATACTTACTGGCTCTACATTTAAACTATCCCGAAAATTTAAACAATTCTCTGCAGTTGCATAAAAATTTGGTAGTACCAATGTTGACATTGAATTTTTTAACATGATATCAAAATAACTTGAAGATGTAGACAGATTCGATGCAAAATTTAATTCCAACTCCAAATAGTCTTATAGAAAATGAAAAGAGATATTAATTGTGAATAATTCTGATTGAAATTAATAATGCTAGTTGAATACAAGATGGAAATTGTATTGAAATCGTATTAAAGAAATAACGGTTTATCGCTTTTTTTGCTCAAAGTAAACTGTTTTTTGTTTTTGTATTTATACTCAAAATTGTTATTCAGTACAGATTATTTCCTCCTCTTCTCCAATAAATAAACAATAACGAATCAGAATAGAAACATTTTTGAGAAGATGCGAACGTGTCGTCTAAGGTTTACTACCACTTAAGATGGTTAAAATATGATGATTATTTAAACATTTAAACAATACACAACTTTATATATGTGTAGGCACAGAGTTTTGAGTAGAAGACGAAGAAGAGAGTGATAGAGTGATAGTAGAATGAAATTTTCACTGTCTTCCCTTTTTTTTTTCTTAAATAAAACTATTCAAAACTATACAGTTATACTGTTAGACTCAAAAATATGAAAATAACCAATCAGTGAGTTGGAATTCTGGGTCAGAGAGATTCAAGGTTTTTTCATTAACTTCACATCAATTTTATCAAATAACACGCCCCTTTTTTTAATTCGTTTTCAAACGACCCGCATTAATAATATATAAACAACAATTCAGGAAAAAGAATGCTACTTTACGTATATTAACATATAACATATAGGATAAAATATATATTAGTCTTTTAACAATGCTGATTAGACAGATTTGATCAGGTGTTTGATTAAAATTGTTAACTAACTTCCGTTTAATAGTAAAGTGACCCATTCAACCTCACACGAAATTTGTTGTAATAATAACGAATCTAATCTCCGGGGTTATTTAATCACAGATCGATCTTTTTGATAAGTTTAAATAAATGAGGTAATTCAACTGAGCCTACATTTTTCATCAGTGAATTATGTAATCACTGATGGGTAATATTCTATGAGTGTTGGATAAATGATGTTGAATAAAATTCAACAAAATCACCACTGGTTTAGAGATGAGTCAGATTGAAGAGTTCAAAATAGGGTGAAACGCTAGTCAAAAATTCCTCCCCTCTATTCTGTAAAAATGTTCCTTTTAGTCTATAATATTTGATTAGCTTATAACAACTGGTTAATCATTGCATAAAAATTGTTACGTATACGGACTGAAACAAGTAATGTAGCGTAAAATGCTAAGAAATCACTGTCATGTATAATCTATTTCGGTAAGTAGTATCTCAAACAGTTGGAAATAAACTCGAAGAATTCCGAAATAACAATGATTAGTTTAATTACAAAAAAAGATATTTTTACAACTATTTAGTTAGTTATTGATTTAAAAAGGAATACAAGTAATTTCTTTTACTAAACATTATCATAATATATTTAGATTATATATAATGCTGATATAAAACTATCAAGTCTTAACACAAAGAGCCACCTAGTTAATCACTATCCAAATAGCCAGAAACAACAACAAGTATTCATGAATGATTTTAATAGAATGATTGTGAAAATTCTCTTGACATGCAACTTTATACCACCTCAGTAACAAGAGGTCACTTAATTTATGGTTCATTTTACATATAACATTGTTAACTTGATCACTACAACCTAAAGTATATTTAAGTTTAATGCGTAATAATCTAATGATGAGTAGTAAACAGTGAGTAACCTCAATAAGAATATCATCAGCGATAATCGCTATTCACAGGACACTGTTTCGTATAAAATTCAATTTCCTGATTTCTCATCTTCACGAATTATTCATGAGTCCAGACCATCACTACAGCTCTTAGACTCCACTCATGATGGTTAACATGAAATCGGAGGATTAAAATAAACCCAATCATTGGTGACAATGCAAATTCACTTCAGGCATTCAGTTCTGTTAGGAAAACACTTTCAAATGAAATGTGTACTGGGGGTTTAAGAGACATTGATCATGAGTGAAACGATCGGCAATCGTCCTCCGATGGGACTAAAATGTCAATAGTAGGCGCTTACGCGGAGTTTAAACTCTCTCTCTCCTAATTACAGATATCATTTATTAATCCAAAATAAAACGTACATCAATTTGTTTTCTTTCCACTAATCTTCAACCGCTTAACTCTTGAAAATACGCTCAACTCCGGGTACCAACTTACATATTTCGTATGAAAAAAAGTAAAATATAAAAAAAGAACTGCCAAATTCATAATTTGCACTACTGAAACATCCATGTTCCTGTTAATCTGTAAACCTTGAAGATCACTGGATTGATTCGAGGAAACAATAAAACTTCGGTTTTTTTTCTATAATCATAAATGTTAATAAAAATGTCACTTCTTATCTTGAAGTTTGTTATAACAATTCAATTATAAATGAACATATCAAGTGGTATAATAGAAAAATTTAATTCCTTTTTGATCATTTAAATTACAAAACTGTTTAATCCTAAATATTAAATTAATTTCTTTTCTTCAAAGAACATGTATTAGAAAACTAGTTGAAAGAGTTGAAGAAGTAATCATGTGAGTAGAAAACTGTTATTTTCAACAAATATCAACAATGTTCTCGATAGAACAGGAAAAATTGGGTGTGATATAAGAGAAAACTAATATTTCCAAGGTTTATTGGCATAAACCAGTTTTTTCCCCTCATTTTAATTTACCACAACACACCCTAATCATCTTAAGGCAATAAATCGACTGATTAATTCATTGAAAAATAAATTAAATCAAAAAATTCATGTCAAAAAAGAAAATGTATATCTACACATACACTCATCCAATAACAGCAAAAAGTCCTCAAGAAAAAAAATAAGCAAATTAAATAAGCGCCATAACTGAAATTGTATTAATTTGATATAGTTATCTATTTAATAAAAGAAATACTCATTCAAGTTTACGTATTTCTTTATATTAAGTGATTTCCACTCCCCCTGTCCTCTTTCAATTTTTATCCTCATGCCCGCTGTATGTTTATTTATATTTTACTGATTTCTTAAAAAATTAATTTTTTCATGTTACAACATTTAAGCGGATCGTTTAAAATGTTATTTTTTTATTAATAAGTTTTTTTCATACAAGTGGAAAAGTCATTTATTTGATTTTTTCTTTAAAAAATTATTTTTGTAAATAATACTTGAGAAATGTCTTAAGAATTTTAATTAACGCTGAAATGTTTCACACTTTAATATATAATGTCAAAATTAAGTAGCTAAAATACTGACATGAAGTCAAGTGAATGGACAATGAAACATACTTTTTTTCAGTTAGAGTTATGGAGATTAGTATTTTTACAAATTTGAAATCATCAATCAAACATTGTTAGAACACCATTAGAAACCTGGAAGCACTGACAGACGGCCGTTTCGTCCTGGTATGGGACTCATCAGCAGTGTGCATCCACGACTCCTGCACCTCGCAGGATTCGAATCCGAGATCTTCGGTGTTGTGAGCGAACGCCTAACCATCGAATCACTGGGCAGGAATCCAACGGTGTTAATGTCTAACTCTGATTGATCCAGGAATTTTGCGCGACCTCACCCATTTGTCTTTGTTAGTTACTGCCTACACCCGACAGGGTTGAACTCCATTGGTCACGTCTTCTCAACTAGAACTCCAAGAATTTCCTCACGAATGTAGTCACTAGTGAGCATATTTTACGATATTTTCAATTAGAGTTATAGAGATTAGTGTTTTTACACATTTGGAATCATCAATCAATCCTTGTGCTTCCAGTGCTTCCAGGTTTCTAATGGTGGTCTAACAATGATTGAATGACGATTTCAAATATGTAGAAACATACTTTGTCAAACATAAATTACATAGTAAAAATCAACAAAGTCCACCTCAAATCTTAACTGAAATATTCGGAGCAATGTCATCCAACAATCCTGTGTTATTCGGCTGTTGGTGCAAATTGAAGTTTACAGCAGCATCACTAGGTAGTTGGACAGTATTTCTACAAATCTAATGACAAGTAAATAAGATACTTATAACGACAGCATTGTACACATTCATAAGTCAATCACTGAATATAACATTGAATACACATAGGTCTATATGATCTAACGTATATTATAACCAGTGATTCCGAAAAATGAGAAATGTAAATTCAAATTATCCCCTGAATCATTACTACTTACTAAATTCAAATAAGTAAGATAAGTGAAAGTGTTTTATGGTCGTATGAAAGATATTATATATTCTTCTTAGCAAACATCTACTAACATTTCTGTAAGTCACGTTTTTCACATTACATATCCCACAGCAACTAATAACATGATAGTCTTTATAATGAAACCAGTGTCTCATTAAACCTCAGGTTACACCATATTAAAAACACTGCCTAAAACATTTCACTAATTAAAGTGATCATGTAAAAGTTTTTAAAATGATTCAAAGGTAGTATGTACAAAGGATTGATGTATTATGCCGGGGAGTTTAAAGCCATACAGCATTAAACAGATTTTTCTTTCTAATTCACGACTTTTCAACAGTGCACAGTTACAACGCCACACATAACAGCACTCAAGAAAGCTTGTTTTTTTTTCTAGACAAGAAATCTCCTCTTACATTACTTATTCGCTTTAAAGAAGTTCTATAAATTTTGATACATTATGACTGCTGTTAGCTTTCTTACTTTTCTAAAACTACTCATAAGTATATGAGTATCATTGACTAAGTTTTGAGTAATTTCCGACACTGTAAATACTAATTTTTTCATTACTGCTCGAAATGGTAGGATATTGAGATCAATAAACTCGTGTACATATATCCACTTTTTGTGTTAACACTCACACCTATACACCCGTTGTTTAGTCAGTGGCTAAACAATAAATATTATACTGTACATACACTATAGTCACTTTCAGTTTAAAGAAATTATTGTCTCTGTTAAATATAGATAAAAATATTTATATTGAATAGTCTGACTATGATTATAAATAGACTATTACAATGAAAA